AAATGATCCCAAATAATAAGCCTTCTTTTTTCAACAGAACAGTAGCTTCCTCTTGCTATTTTGTTAAAATATATAAAAATAATGTTTATTTCTTTCAAATTCCCAATCACAAATGATAACAGAAGACATATGAGTGTGCTAAATGGTTGTCCCAAAACCGAACAATAGCAAAGGAGAAAGGATAGCGGTATTTTTTTGGTACTTGAGCAGATTTTAAGAGTAATAATGTCCTACTAATGGAGAAATTCATGAAAGTGTTGCTCTCAGAAAAGTAACCGTAATTTTTCAAACTATCGCATAATTACAAATGCCCTAAAACTCTGTCCATAACTGCATATTTATAAACTCATTCGCATTGAGACCATTTGTTACATAAGAGAGTAATGGGGAAAGGATACTTGGTGTTTTGAAAGTAAAAAGTTATGGAAAGTTCTCGAAAATGATCTACGATAAAATTGCCTATGAATTACTTTGAGTTATCAAACCAATTTACCTTTATTTTGAAGTTGATTTTGAATTTTTTAGAAAATTAATCAATATCCGCTGTTTTTAAATTGAAGTTATTGAACGCTAACCGCTAATGTCGTTGTTCGTCAGGGACACAAATATTCCCTTTACGTACATTTAAACACAGTTATAAATGAATATTTGCGGTCAGTAGGTCTGTGTGCACTAAAAGAGTTTCCTTATCTTTGAAACTTGGCATAAGCAGTGAGCAAAATAAGCACAATAGAACATGAACTGGTGGCGTGAAGTGATAAACACTTCTTAATGCATTGTCTTCTGTGTATTCTTCGGTTATACTTTGGACAAGATAAAATGATCATAAAATTTATGAGGCCTATATATGTACGTATGATCTGATACATTTGACACGGTCTGCCGAGGGGCGTTCGCAATTAGGAAAGTTAATTTAAAATTCGAGGCCACAACCTTTCACACGGGACACCGCACAGCTAATCACACAGCTTACAGTGCTCGGCTATTACGCCGGAAATCTTAGTCAGGTGAAATTTAAGTCCGTGGGCCTGAAAACTACGCTTTTATTGATACCCATAAACAAGATCATAATAAAATCAAATTTTGTGGGTGGAGTGTATGTCGTGCAAGTGGAAATGTGGCTTTATTATGCATTTATACATACTTTATCATTGATAAGAAGCTTGGTAATAGAACAGAGACTGCTCATGCCAGAAGCAATTAGTTACGCAATTATTGACAGGTAATAGACAATGTAGATATGTGTGTATACTCATATGTTTGAAAATAAATATAAATAAAATGTTCTTTACAATTTATATTCTATAAGAAGATATAAAATGAGTTGGTAACGGCAAAAGAAAATATGTATGTACATACATATGTATGTACATATGTATATGAATAATATGTGGACACGCGCCGAACACGAAGCGATCACCCACAACCTGTTCTCTTTTTGACGATAAACAAATGGGCATATGTGTATAAACATATTATATGTGCGCATGTGTATGCGTTTATGTATGTATACCTGAAATATTTACAAAATAAAAAATGTATGTTTGTAGGCATATGATTATAAAATCTAAAATATTAAAAAGTAATCAAGTGAGTGTCCAAAATGGACTTGTTCGACAGAAGAGCAAATATAGATGGCTTCAAATTGTAATATATGCACATAAATTAGCACATTTATTCAAATATTGTACATACATATATGTATGTCCTTATGTTTTCATCTGTGGTTTGTACTTAACCAGTGTGCACATGCGCCCAATACTTACATACAAAGCATTTATTTGTATATATGTATATATAATTGGCAATTTGTAACCGCTGAAGTGATTTTCGGCCGAGCTCCTCCTCCAATTTGTGGTTTTGCGTATTGATGTTTTTCCCACAAACGGGGAGACCTAAAATTTTTACTAAGCCGCCTCTGAATGACTGATGGTTTTTATGAGGAGTTTTTATTTCATGTCAGAAACACACTCGGAGGGAACCGCAATTAAACCTCAATTAAAAAACTGAACTTAATTGTTATTGAAATTAATTTTCTATAACTCTTTTTGCATGTTAGTATGACACCACGATTTGAACCCGAGCCTCCCGACTGGCAGTACGCAATGCTAACCACTCGGCTACCGCAACAGTCATGTAGGTATGTAGCTGTAGATGCAAGCAATTTGGTATTGAAAGCGAAAAAATTCAAGTTTAGGTAGTCGGAGCAGTTTTTAACTTCGATTGAATGAAACTCTTATCAGCGGATAGCGACCTAGTGGAGGTAGCGCAGTTGTCATTGCAATTTTTAACAAGGGAGAAGTGTTGTCTTCGGCTACGTATCATTCAAGGATTTGAATATTTATGAGGTCAATATTTAAAAAAAAATTACTAGTTAATTAGAGTCCAACTAGTTTACATTTTTACACCAGTTGGTTCATCTTCCATCTATTTTCCTTTGAACTGCCAATTGTCAGAGTATGCATCAGCTTCATACTAGTTCCTACATATGTACTAAGTTAAAATATACATACTACCCAAAATACCAGCTCGTTCATACCAATTGAAAACTAGGTCGCCTAATTCAGTCTGAATCGTGAATCGTGAAATTTGGTGCACTATTTCCCTCCAGGAAGGTATTTGAAGCTTTATTAGGACTGCTCATCATTTGTTTAAAATTGAACAAAATATGAGAAAACTCAATAATATGTGGTGGTTGTTGTTGTAGTGGTAAGTGCGTTCAGAGCTTCTGGATACTTATGAGTCCTGCTTGTTTTGCAAAACGACAAACTAGTTCATATACTAGAGTTTTTGCAAACTAGTCCAGATTATACCGATTATCACCGTTGGTATGTTGTTTTTGCGGAGTTTCCGCGTATGCGAATAAATCTTTAACGCTTGAGCACTTGAAAACCAACGATCACAATGTTACGGCTGAAACAACACCCAAAATGTGCCAAAACTTAGTAAAAAATTACCCGAAGACGGTCATTTGAATGATGTGGTGCTTTACATATAATTCCAAGGTTAAAACTTTGAAATAAAAGGAAATACCTTAAAATTTTTTTAAATAAACATTCACGTTGATTTGCGAAACCAAACACAAATAGTTCTTGATTTACATATACGTGTACATACATATGTATTTTATTCTTCAAAAGGAAACGCACTTGAGGCAAACAGCTTTGAAACAGGCGACCAATGCTTATTTGCATCCAACTAGGTTTGGTTATAGGTACATATCAACCTGTTGGACAAACCTGTTGCTTGCTAAAACAATTATTATTATTTTTTTTATAATTTTTTTTTTTAAAGGTATCACAGCACTTAACCCACATAATGAATTTATCTTAGCCGGTAGTATTTAATAGATTAAGAATTTGGTATGCGAAAGTAACTGAGGTACATATGTAAGTGCTTTTAAAAGATAACATTGAGTAGACTCTCGAAGATAAACGTATTACATATGTAGCACTCCAAAATAGGATTTAGTTTACAGTTCAAATATTTGTACACGCAGTTGGATGTGTTGAAACACTGGAATTGATCACACTTGAAGTATGAAGTAATCATACTCATCGTGCAAACATACATACATATATATGTGTATTACAAACAGTCTTTTGTAAGTAAAAATATTAAACCCGAATTGTTTTTTCTAATATCATCTAATATCATCTTATAATATCCATAGAAAGTATAAAAGTATGGGCTTTTGGGCGATTGGTAGCTTTTACTTATATACGTACATATGTTTGTTTAAAGTAAATTTTTCAAAATAATGTGACTCGCCTTGTCCGATAAACGAAAACTAAAATACGGAAGCCAAACCATTCAGTAAATTTTTCACAAAAAAAAATCCACACATTTGTTATTTTACATACATACGTACATATACACAAATATGAATATATGTATACCAAAACGAAAGAAAGTGAGAGTGTTAGTAAACAGCTGTTTTACATATACATATATGTACATATATTATATGTGCATATGTTACTGTTTACGTTTTACTTAATTCTTATTAGTATTTCTCCTTTTTTTTAGGGCAATCAAGCTGGAACTCACTTAAGCCGTTGTTGACCAAGTTAGTTTAAAGGAAGCTGCCGCTTGACATCTTCAGCTCTCATGCTTTATCTGCAAACAGAGTCTTACGAATTGCTGAAAATTCACTAGGAAAATTCACTGTATATATGTATATGTATATGTATATGTATGTATGTATTAATAAACGTTTGCATACATTTCGTTGTTGAAATGTAGGAATGCCATAAGTGACAATTTTTCATTTATTGTACCTTTTTAAGGCTAAAACGATAGTTACTTTTTACGTTATTTCCGCGAATGCTTTGAGTAAATTAGTTGTTGACACAAGTTTTGCAAAACGAGATAACAATAATAATTTCGAAACAATAAACAAATGTACATACATACAAATATTCCCATAGACAAGCGTGAAAGAACACTTTATTTACGAATCTAAAAATATATTATTTGCTATAACATAAACATATATATGTATGCATACATTTGAGGAATTAATCTCACTATTCTAAGCATTGCAATGGCTGTAAAAGCTTTTGGCAGCAAACCAAACAAAGCAGCAGAATGAAATAACAAACAATAACTTCGGCCTCGTACTTAGATACGGGATTTATATTGTTATGTTTTTCAAATCAATTAAATCCTGTCTTCCGAAAAACACAACAGAATTCAATTGTTTGTTCGACATAAGAACAGTTATTTTGGTATCAGTATGTGTACATACACATGTACTCGTACAACAAATCCATCATATTACATATTTCATTAATTTTAATTGTTCCCTTTATTTAGTATACTCACACATTCGCCTATTTCTTTTATGGATTTCAGGGTATTTTTGTGTATGTTTGCACACTTAAGTTTACAAATCTACGAAAGTTCGAGTGGGCGAAAACGTTTTATCGTTTTTTTTTTTTATAAATAGTAAGTGGCCCTGGTGAGTTCCATTTTATTTTAATGAAATACACTGCTACTTAATATTTACATATTTCTTTATTCATCTCTTCTTCGGTTTTTATCATTGTGGTCTGCTTAAACTATTCATCATAATAACGTTAACATACGTGTACATTCATTTTGATAAAATGTGCTTATTTTTAAAAGATTTGTGTTTCCTATTTTCGTAATACATATGTACATATGTACATATGCGTATATTTGGCAATTCAAGTTTCTGTTTGTGGACATTCTTTTGAGCTTTTTCCCATTTATCGTTTGAGCTTTACGAGATAAGTTCAATGTTTACTATTTGGAATAACTCCACATCTGGTTTTACTCTAAAAAGTGCAGTAATATTCCATATAATTTGATACATACACATGTGTTTTTACTCATTGGTCATTGATACGTATGATATTTGTGCTTATTTATTCATTGAAATTAAAGATATAAATCGTAAAAAATATAAATCGTTTATATATAATGGAATACATAGGTATGTATATTTGTAAATGTACCTAAAATAAAGCAATTGCATTCTTCGCTTATACATAAATAAATTTAACTTCCTTTCTAAAATAGTGCTTACACAATAACATTTAATAACAACATATTTATTTGGGTTTCTGAACTCCACTTAGGTAATTAACTTAAATGAATTCGGTATCGAAGAAATTTTAACAAACAACACACCTTTCACGTTCGAATTTTCGAAAACACTAATAAATTTTTCCATCATTTTCGTAATTGGGTTCAAGTTCATTTATAATATAGATTTATTTACAAAATTTTAACTATTTTATTTTCCCCTGAAAGTTTGCTTAACTTAAATCAATTTCTCTTTTATGTTGGATTCTTGTATTGATTTTTGTGCCAGTGCTTTTTTGAAGTATTTTGGCCTTGATGCTCTCATTGATTGGGCTGCTCACTCAGTTTATTCATCGAGCAGACAGGTTCGCACTAATGCATTACAAACGGCATAAGGATCGCAGTTGGAGCTTGGACGACGATCCTCGAAATAACCCTTACCGGCAGTGGCCACGCCACGAGGAATGCGTACACTGGAGCCGCGATTCGCGATTCCCCAAGAGAACTTGTCAATGCTCGAAGTCTCAAGACGGCCAACCAAGCGACGTTCATTGTCCTTGCCCTCCTTGGGATCGTATGCACGGATGTGACGTTCCTGGTGCTTACTCAACTTCTTAATGGCATCTTCAATAACTTTCATTCCGCCTTCACCACGCATCGCTTTGGTAGAGAAGTTGTGATGAGCACCAGCGCCATTCCACGGGCCATCCATTGGCTTGGGATCGAATGTGACTACAATACCGTATTCTTCAGCAATACGTTGCAAAATATAACGTGACACCCACAGATCGTCACTAGCCTTAAGTCCGGTACTAGGGCCTACTTGATATTCCCATTGTGCGGGCATGACTTCAGCATTGGTACCGGCGAAGTCGATTCCTGCATATAAACATGCGATGGCGTGAGCTTCCACTAAGTCACGGGCGTAAACACGGTCGGCACCTACACCGCAATAATAAGGTCCTTGAGGGGCGGGAAAGCCACCCTCAGGCCAACCGAATGGACGTCCTTCAACATCGAGTAAAGTATACTCCTGTTCAATACCGAACCATGGCTCTTGATCAGCGACCTTTTCCATGGCTTGTTGGCAAGCAGCACGCTTATTGGATGGGGTGGGTTTACCATCGGCAGAGTAGGTGTCGCACATAACGAGAAGGTCATTCTTACCGGGCTTGAATGGATCCCGATACATGGCACGTGGTATGAGGGTAGTATCTGAATTTTCACCAGAAGCCTGATAAGTGGAGCTGCCATCATATTGCCAATTGGGTAGATCTTCAACGCCAGACGGCACCTTATTCAAGACACGATCCTTCAAACGGATATTCTCGCCAGTTCCATCGATCCATAGGTAAGTTGCCTGAACACGGTCCTTTGGAGTTTCCAGGTGGCGATAGCGATCTAACAATGTCTTGTTTAGTGCTGCATTAGGCGAATTTTTTAGAAAATGTGCCTGACGCATGGAGGTCAGATTAAGGTTACGGAATTGCGTTGCCAGCTGAGAGGAAGCAGAAAGCTCCTTGCTGATGAATAAACCGGCACAACGTAAAGACATAATTCCAATTTTTTTTTTGTTTGGATAAATATTTAAAAATTTATATAAATTTTATTATTTGATTTTGTAAATGGCGCAGCGATTGAAGGACGTTGAAGGGCGTTAAAGGATGTGGCAGCAGGCGAAGGTGGTTACAAGGTGGCGCTCAAATTACTTCGAACTACTCAAATGAGCTTTAATGAACTTGGAAAATGTCCGAAAATGGTATGTTTGTGCGAAACACTTTAAACACTTTGTATACATTTATTTGCTTGAACTTTTCTTTTGTTTTGCGCTTTTTTGTTTATAAAACCTTTGGAAATTTCTTATGAATTTAGTTTCGACACTTCTCTATTATAATGACTTTACCACACAACACAATTTTATTTTTGTGGTTTTGTGAACACAAAAAAATGTATATGTTAACGGCGGAGCTATTTAGTTTCAAACACCCGTTTTCTTTGAGGCTTGAACAATGTCTGACTGCGAACAGAGCGAGACACTCACTTTTCAGGTGTCAGCGAATTGCGATTTCTTTATCACAATTTCAGAATTCGACCTCGCCGCGTTTGGCGTCGGTCGTAAGAAATGTGTATGTATTTGTGAGATTCGAGCGTGTGTGGGGAGAATCTTTGGCCAACATCGATACGCAGACGAGTTTCTTGAAAATGGTGAGCGCACGGAAAACTCTCGCCTATCGTCGTATTAGCAACTGAGAAAATATAGCGAACACTCTGGACTAATATCTGCACTGGTGTCAATGCGCACAGCACGGGAATACGTAATACATTCATATGTATGGATATGAACTTTACATTCGTTATATTCAATGTATTATATACATATGGACATATGTATGCACATATTTATATGTGTATATGCTTATCTTCATAATGCACACATGGGTGTAGTATTTTGAAACATTTGCTGATACACGCTTTAGCTTACTGATACGATGGTCTATAAGCGCCTGAGTCAGAAGAATCGGTACGGCCATATTGCAGGAATGTGGCTAAAGTCGACAAACCCCAAACAACTGTTCGAAAAATTCCTAGTAAACATAATGTCATACAAATCCACGTCTGCATAAATGCACATGTACATATCTATATAAATATTTATTTATATTAGGGTGGTAGAAACTGAATTGCTTGCTCATCACGAGGGTGATAGTAAACTGGCGTGAGATTTACTCACATACTTCCCTTGTTTGGACCAGCGTCGCCAGAGTTTCAAACACTCCAATACATATGTTCATATCTACATATTTTACAGATTGAGAATTTGAGAAGGTCGTAAATGGTTTTAACTAGTTTTTAAACATTCAAATAACAGCTTTTTATTGGATGTGAGGTGGGGAAATTTAGAATATATTTCAGCTTGGAATGTGTAGTAACAGCATATAAGAATGAATAATGCACACATTATTTAGTTAGTTTATGACGGAAGCCATCCCCAAAAACCAATTGCTCGTCCGCTCAGACTTGTATATATATGTATTATATACATATGTATATCCCATATGTAGATATCACTCTCCTTCAACAACAATAAACATTGATGCATTTTATCACGCCCTAATATTCGGAAACATATGTTAAGAAACAATAATATTACTGCTAGTCTGCAATCGCTCACAGCTCAGCTGATAAAGGACACGTCGACCAACGAAAAACATTCAACGAATTTTTGGCTTCTCGAAAATACGTACATATTTATTTAATTACGAATCCATATTATTATACAGTTTTCATATGTGCATACACCCTCACAAATACACAGCCCCAAACATGAACAGGGTATGATAGTATTATCAGTACATACATATAAATATGTATAGTATAATATATTTAATTAGCCCCTTTCAAATGCAGGGTCTATATATTCGTTCTGTAGATCCAATAGAACCGTGCTGGTCTGGTTAGAATTCGAATTTAGGACCCTCCGCCTCGTAGCGCGCTCTGTTGCCCATTTGGCGTCTGCGGTCGCCTTGCTCATAACATATTTTTATTATTCATTTATACACATTCATAAGTTCATATACAAATGTACATAGATAAAATATGCATTTGTATATATGTATGTATGTATAAAAGCTATGCATTGTTTGGCACTGTTGCTGTTGGCTATCATACGTACATATATACTTTATACATCTGTATGTAAGTATTCTTTCGATATCGCACATCTGTTTTTGTTTTGGTTACAAAGTCCATAAAATGTTTTAGCGACTGCATTGCTATCGGATTCACTTTTTGGGCCAAGATGGTATTCCACCGGTGGAGAATGTTTGGCTTCCACTCTCTGTACATACATATACACACTCTCATCGATACGAAGATTGGGGCTCTGCATGATTACAAGTAAATCTCTCTTTTAGTGCTCTCATAAACTTGATTATTTATATGTACTCGAATTTGATTTCATGTTTTTGCATTTGTATGAACATATGTACAGTACCTCTATTTCCATAGCGCATGGCAAACAAATTTTGTATTGCTAACTGTTTTGAATGGGTGCAGTGCACTCTCAGCTGTTTCTCCTAGAGCTTTTATCAGACGAAAGCTACAATTTTTACGCACATACATATGTATGTACTTACATGTGTAGATTAAAGCCAACCAACCTTCTATATTCAAAGTGCTGTGCAGATTACACTTGTGACACATAAAAAGGGCTTAACTGGAGAAATTCAAAACGCTGTAGGGAAGTATTACTGAGCTATGTCATTCAATTAATGGACAGCTATGTATGTATGTATGTAAGTTCGAGTGGGACCATATTCAGTAGGTATATATATATATATATATGTATATACCCCTAAGTGATAAGGGCAGTCCACCCCTAAATTTTTTTTTTGATTTTGTGGATACAAAATTTGTTTTAAATTTTTTTTATGATGTGACATTACAAAATACAACTAAAAAAATGTTTCCTCAGTTTTTGGGCAAAACTTATTTTAGCTATTATTCTGCGGCTACAGGTTACAAGCTCTTCTTATAGGTTCAAGAATAGATTCGATTGCCATTTATGTGATGGGCTTTAAGTAACGAGAAATATAATAAAAAAGCTTGCAATTTGTGTTGTGCGCTGTGATGTTTTTCCAACAAATGTAGGGACCTACCATTTCTACTAAGCCGCCCCCAAAGGGCTGATGGTTTTTTATAAGAGCTTTTATTTCATGTCAGAGGTACACTCGGAAGGCTTGACCTTCTCTGCTGGTCATACCCAATTCAAAAAGCTGGAGTTTGCGGTCCGAAACAAATACATACAAATGGTATACATACTCCTGAAGTATAATCAAATTTCCGGACTTTCTCTGCGACAGCCACCAAGGATGGAGGTGTTGTTATGAACTCGGCGATTTTCGTTTGCTAAAAGAAATGAGTCAAAATATTTTTAATTATATCATTGGGCTTACAAAATTTATTCCATTTTGTTGCAAAATGCCCCAGCACAGCAACAACCGATGAAAACATGGAAAAAAATAGAATAAATGATTAAGAAATGCGTGGCAACCGAATTCGTTCCAAAAATCTTGATTTTTGAAAAAAGTAGCGACTCACACTTCATTGTTTGTTCTTGTTTTTTTTGGACGAAACAAAACAAAACAATACTGGAAGGATACCCCAGCCTTCTTATTCACCAAAGAGAATTTCACTATTTCGAAAAGGGAGGCAACCTAAAAGGATTGTGGCTGTCAACCATATATGACATTAAAACGCATTGCTAAAAGACCTAAGGACTATCTCAAAGGTCGAAATAGAGAAGTATTTCGGTGGAGGCGCTGGCTTAAATGCATATCATTACAACAACAAAGAAAACGAATTAATAAATATTGAACAAACTAGTGCAGACACCAATTGGAAAGAGTGGAACGTGAGTTTGCAAGTGGCAATACTCTCTTTTTGCTACTAAAACATGTTTTCGATGTCAGTCCGAAAGAAATATTATTTGTTTTCTTATTAAGTTGTTGTGTTTCTATATTTATCAAAATTTTCAAAAGAAATCGCAACTACTTACATACATACATGTGTACATGCAGACAAATGATTAATAAATATCATATACAGTAAGTGTATGTATGTGTCTGTATGTTAATTTTATCTACAATATATGTATATATATATATATATATATATATATATATATATATATATATATATATATATATAATCTATGAACATATATAACTACGTAAACATATGTGGCGTACTGAATGTAAACAGTACATATTATGTGATCCTCACTTATTTTGTTCTGCTATCGCTGATCAAGCTGGGAAAAATGTTGCTGTCCCTCTTCCATATATACTTTCACATATATGTACATACATACACACTTCCTGAAAGAGTGGAAGAGCAAAAAATTCCGTTGAATATTGTGGAATAATATTGATTTATGGGTATATTATGATAAAAGCTTCATGTATAATTATGTATGTATGTTTGTACATCTATTTACAAATATGGGAGTATAAATTTGTAAATAATTACAATATATGTATGAACATATCCACTATGAACGAATGTTTGCTCCTAGTACACGCTCGAGGTTGAAGTTCAATAAACCACTTTAGATGCCTTTTAATATTTCAAACAAATATTTTCAACACGCTTTTGATTGTTTCCATGTTGATTACATTTCTAAAGAATATACAATAAATATAACACATACATACATACATACATTTATACCAATGAACTTGTGTTTATGTGTATAGCAAAAGTCTTTGATTTTGAATTTTCAATAATTATTATTGTTTTTTTAGCAAAAGAATCCATGTTCGATTTTCTTCGCAAATTCACCCTGTTGACATTTCCATAATAAGTTCATAAGTTGTCTGGGGCTTTCTTTACTCATTATTCATTGTGTATATATATGTATGTATATACAAAAGTACTTCGTTGGCTCAATGATCCATCGCTCGCCTATTATAGGTGTACGTATGTATATACATACATAAGTACATATATATATATACGTACAAGCCCGTAAGAACATAAGCACAAGCGGAAAATTCCATAGCTGATCTTCTTGCCAGAAAAGAAAAGTAAAGAAAAGAAAAGAAAAGAAAAGAAAAGTGTATGTGTTGTATTGCTACCCAATCAACACAAATTACACCGCGACACAAAATAAAGTTCAAGGCCCTGTAATGGCAAAAGAGGGTTTACAACTCCCAGCACACTTTCACACAATTTTCGCTACTTTTTATATTGTTTCATTGAAAAGTGGTGCTTGTACTGTTTTTAAAGTTGAGTAAATTATTTATATAAATAAATATTATAATTAAAGTTTTGTCATTTTCGGAGCCTGCAAATTTATATTGTTATTGTCAACAGCGTCACTCTGAGTATCAATTGACTCATATGGTTCCGTCTCTGGGTATTTTTCTGGTTCTTGTCGTGGGTTCTCTTAGTCATCCATTCGATTTTCCATGCTCAATAACTTGTTGGGTTAGATTTTATAGATATAAAAATCATAATGACGCTTAGTTGTATTTAAACTTTAATTGGGCTGTTCGATGCAACACAAGAACAAGATGAGAAATAGGCACACTTGTCACGCAAAATACTGCTCTCAACTCATGCCCCAGAACGGCTGTATTTTTTGCCCTTCTTATGAAATATCGCTGTTGTTGATGATTTTATTTTATGTTAAAAATACGATTTTATTTACATTTGTTTAATTTATGCAAAATATTGTGTATTATATTTCACACATTCACTTGGATGCCACTGATTTCGAAAATGTATTCTCTCTTCTTCTTCTTTCTATTCGATCGTAAGATAGATTACCTAACTACGATTATGACGGTACCGACATTACTCATTCAAATATAAAAAAAATTATAGTGTAAATTGTAATTTTTCGGACATACCTAAAGACGTTTTTAAGTTTTCTGCTCGCTCAGCTTTCTTTTAGCAATGACAAGAACCAATCAACCGCAATGGCTTCCATACTTTCAATGATCATCTGTGTGTGCAGTATACCCACAGTTATATACACACATACATACATTTAGATGTAAATCAATGCGCCAAATGAATAAAGTTAATATCCATTAAATTTATTTTCCATCATAAAAGGATAAACGATAAGAGAGTTGTTTTTGATATTTCTCTAGTTTTTAGTTTTGATTTTTTAGTATTTTCATATTTTTACTTGTAAGAATCAGAGCACTGAAGACTTTTTATAAAGATTTCGAAATTTTTTATTTTGAAATTTATATTAAAAGATTGCAAATTTAGGGTGAACAATGTAGAAAACATTCACTTTATGTACATATGTATACATGTGCCAATACAAGACGGATACAAGTTGATACATCCGGATAACCTTCTAAATAATACCTTGTGGATGCATAAATGCTTTTTATTCCTACACATATGTATGTACACGTATGTTTGTACTAGTACTATCGTAAGAGATTTTTATGCGTTAGGTAGATTTTTGATTCTCATTATCTGGAAAAAAGTTGACGAACATACTGAAACTAATAATTTTAAAATTTCCCACCTTAAAAGAAAAGATTTATAAAATTCGGTGGCAACGCTGTTCTTCGTTGAGCGTTAGAAATTTATAACTTTATGTCAAATAACTGCCGACTTTTAAAGTGTTCAACAATAAGAAACATGCTCTGGGATTTTTGGAAAATTAGTCTCATTCCAGTAAGCAAAGCGCCTGCGCTTAGAGAGTATGCAGGGAAATGAAAACAGTCATTTTGATTTACCCTACATATGGTTTTGAAACACAATGAACAGGTGAGGTAGGGCTAAGCACGTATTGGCCCAAGCAGTTATGCCAATATATCTTACCGTTTAACAGAGATGCTGCACGAAGGAAACGATGCCAATTCGGTTTGTTAAAAACTAAAAAAATTAACTTAAAGAAATTATTTAGCTTTGTTTCAGCGTGTTGTTATCAAAACGAAGTGAATTTGTTAATGTTGAAACCGAAATTTTAAAATAACCGCTTGCTTAGAAATAGGCAGCACACTTCAGTTTTAACGTTTAACATAATCTGTTAACGATATAACATTAACCCCAGAATTTCGTTTCGGGTAACAACAAAATAAAATGTCAATTTATAGCTACGATATCAACTATCCTCTCATAGAAAATATTTAATTAAAACCATTTTTTGTATTTTCTCAGAAAAATTCTGTGATTACTTTATTGAGCTTTTATTTTAATACAAAAAAATTCAACATATTTAAAGTACCCACATGCAGCTCAATGAAAGTACCACACACGTATGTTTGTTCCCGAAGCAAAAGCGCCAAGATTTCGAAGAGAAAACTGCTGGCCAAGATTTCCCATAAAATGTCTGTTCAATTATATATTTAGCGCAACAGATGCCGGTTGGCTTTCAGTTTTATATGAGATATCGTCGGAATAAGTGCTTCGCAAGGCAAAGAAACAGAACAAACTGAGATTATCATCACTTGAGTAAATATTTAAAAACAAAAATAAAAATAAAAACAAATCATAAAGATAACCAAATACCTATGTATGAGAAGAGATAAACAGCGCAAATCTTAAATTCTCATAAAAGTTTCAGACGCAAAATGAAGAAAGCTTATTCAGACTATCCTCGCGATAGTCGTTCGATTGATATTTTGCATAAAAGAAAAATTAAATCTATTATAATGTGTTCTTTTCGGAACTTTCAAATTAAAAGTGAAAGTAATTGCCAGAAAAGTGTTTAGCACAAAGTTTCGAATCAAAATTGCCTGATTAAGTGAGAAAATCAAAAACTGGGAATACCGTAATTTATATTTTAAACTATTTCGGTGATTAGTGCAAGTGTAAGAACAATTAATACTTTAAAAAGTTTTAGTATAGTCTCCCATCAGACACAAAGGAGATTTAAGTATTGCCTGATATTTTGAATACAAGTGACCTGGTGAAATATTTGAAAATACAAATAGTATAAATTGCTTCAATTTCGCCTGGCAGCATAAAGGTAATATATTTATAAATACATAATTTTAATTTGACATTAATTTTATTCCAAAAAATTCTCTTAAACAAATTTAACTTGAACTGCTGTACTTATATACATACGTATTTTACTAGTCACAACAAGTCTTATTTCCTTTAATTTATTTTCTGTTATTGGGTTTTTTATAATATTGAAAAAAAAATACGGAATATCTACATACATACATATGTATTATTTTTAAGAAAAATTGTATGATCTATTTAGATAGATCTCCGGCAATAGTTTACTATCAGATATGAGTCCCACCGCCCCTCGTAACGCTCTTCCATTTTCCAAAGACCCAGGGGATATCTTTCTCCACTCCTCACTAAACTCACACAGATTTTGTGGAAATCTAAAATGTTTAAATGGGATTGCAGGAAGTGGGGCTGTCCTCCAATTCGTAGTTTTGCGTCTTGATGTGCTTCCAAAAAATGGAGGGACCTACAGTTTATACTAAGCCGCCCCCGAGCGGCTGATGGTTTTTTATGAACAGCTTTTTATTTCATATCAGAACTACACTCGGAGGGGTTGACATTCCCTACGAGGGGCGACCGCAATTAGAAAATTTAACCTACATTTTTATTTATACTAATTTTATAAAACTTTTGGATGTTGGTCGAACCAATATTTGAACCCGAATCATCCGAATGGCAGTACGCAATGCTAACTACTTCGCTACCGCGGTCGCATTTCTTTTCACAACGTAGAAATAGCCAACGTCACGGCGTGTTATAAACATTACTACATCTCCTCTCCACTGAGCCATAACCGGAGACGTGACACACATTTCCAACAAGCAACATGAGGAACCCATAACTTGCCCTGATATAGACGATACGCAACAACAAAATAAGGAAATCTAAATAAAATTAGTAAACGATGGGAGATAGCGATAACTCAAATCCTAAAGCTGTCAGATAAAAGGTATTCTATATTTAAAAATGTGAGGGGCGACAGCAATTGAAAAAAATCATTTTCAATAATTTTGATTACAATTTCGGCGTATGCACATACATACATACTCGAATACCTAAGTCCTAGGTTTTTCAGAATAATACTGCCTATTTTATTTACTGTATACATAAATGCATTGAAACGTTATTCAAATCCAAGCCTATCCTTCTGTTTGAAATAACGGTTTTTTGCTTTCCTTCTTTGTTTTTTGATTGTAAGGAATCCAATTCAACTGCAAATATAAACGAAATCGCGTGCGCCCCAAGCCACATGCCACATGCCACACGCCACTTACTGCAAGATGCACGCTGAGCGCTGTGTGCACAATTCAAATTATGTAAATAATTTAGTCACATTTACTCATGCATACACATACGCATCGCAAATAGATAACAACTTACTCGTACCTCGATACCTACGTACATACATACTACATTCCTAATGTGCCTCTATGTGCTGTTATAATTGCGCACGTGCGCACAGTAGATAGATAACTTGATTACCGTTATAATTGTATGAAAAGTGATTTCATTGTTGTTGTTTTTCCGAACTGTATACAAAACAGAACAAGCAAATAGTCAATGAAAATAGAGCGATGCTGGATGGACAAAAACAAGCATGGATGGATTAGATTGTGAGCAAATCGGCGAGTCGCGGCCGTCAGAGCACTTGGCTAAAATTTAAAATCACAATACCAATCAGCAGGGGTCGCATTAATATGAATTTATTATATTAGTTTATCGTTTTGTTTTTTTATAAATAATTTTATGTTTTATTTGCTCCAAATACCAAAATCGGATTCATAAATCCTTTGATAATCGGATGAACATATACAATACACTAATACGTGTACATATATATATATATACACATTGCCACTTAATACAATAAAAAGTGTGATTTAATTTTTTCAGTTGTTAATATAAATTCGATCAGCGCCAGATACCCATTGTATCATATGCACACACGAGTATATACAATACATGAAAACATTTATATTGGTACATAACAATAAATAAATATATTTTTTGTCTCAACGCCAGTTCGAACATGTAGTATTCCGAAATTCCGACATTCCTTTGCTATTTTTAAAAACTCAACGGCCAATTCGGCGCCGCTTTCTTAGCTGCGACCGCATCAGCTGGAGGAGCACGATTACACATAAAAGCTGGCAGCAATCGGTTTTTCGGTTGTTGAAATTTTACGCATTTGTCAACTTGAGATTTCCGAAAGGTTAAGCAAACAATTTCGGTACTGAGTTTTGATAATTACCATACGAAGATGTAAACACCACATGAACCCTGTTTTCAAGAGTTCTTTTGAAGAAAAGGAAATACCACACAATATAATGTGTTGGAGAGTGAAATAAAAAAATATAAATTTGCAATAAAAAATATTTCAAATCGGCGGAACTGTCGACTTTTCCGTAATGGGGTTTTCTCGGAAGCGCTCTACGGCACACAGCTTGCAGGGTGAAAAATAGAATTTTAAACAAAATAAAAATATTTTCCTTAATCCAAATGAGAATGAAAAACTCGCCTATTATTAAAAACTGTTAAAAATCGGAAAATCATACATGAAAGACTAATAATAATAATAATAATAATAAGCGCAATATGTATATGTATGTAGTTGTCATTAGGTTTGCCTAGAGTTTAAAATTTATATTTGTATTTGTAGTTATGTAAACAATTCAGAAATAATAATTGTTTATTGGGACATTTTGTCCACTAGACTGAGTTTCCTACACCTCAGCGTTTTTTTTTTATTAATGTAAATATGTACGAAATATCTCGTCATGAATTTTCGGGCCAAAGAATATTTTCATACGTCTTTTGGCCAGCTTGTGCGAGCTTAACTCGGGAGAGTCATCGTTCAGTCATCAGTCAGCATTCGAAAATATTAAGCATAAATAATATGCGCAAATATATCTATTATTTAATTTATTTAAACTGAAAGGAGAATGATTGTTTAACTTAAGATGAAAATAAGAGCGTGCGTAGTCGTTTTGAGCAATGATGACGGTCTGGAGTACATACATATATACTGTATCTCAACTGACGCTAAGCAACACCAAAAGCTCGGCTAGAATCGGATAACAGGCGAGATTTCAGGACCCCTCATCCTGTGACTTCTTTAATTTATTGCTAGAGAAAAAAATACGAGGAGCATAGCTGAATAGAGAAGGTACAAGCGATGATAGTGGCATCATCAGTCTCGAACAAAGAACAAAGAACTCCAGATGCTTTAAATACAAAAATGTTAACAATTTTGTTGTCATCAAATTATCGCATTTACTCCAAATATTTGTATATACTACTATGTATGTATATATAAATAATCCTGTATACCTACACTCATATATAACCAAGAACAACAGAAGAGCTATAAAAATTCCTAACAAATTTCCTATTGTTGTCATAAGCAACAACTTTCAGGTACTACCTCATATTTGTCAGATTCAACACAAAGTCAACATCTTTTTTATCCATTTATGAAAATATGTAGTTATATTTGTGAGGGAATTTTTTGTATAAACTTGATAAGCGTTTCAAAGTGCTGACAACAGAAGATTTCGCACAGATTCTTAAAATTAATCAAAAAATACATATGCACAATCTTGGGTTCGCTTATCAGTCGGATGAGTAGCTGTAAATGCGAGTAATCTGAATACCCACATATATCATGTGGAAAGTACATACAGGCATCTCCCAACTTAGATGATATAGAATATATTGTACTTACATACATACATTCCGGCATACTCAACCTCTTATGCATATACAATTATTAATAATCTCAATAAATTCAAATAATTAAAAATATTTCTTTTGTGTTTACAGTTAAAACAGCTAATATGAGAGCAGAGGATGTACCGCGAGTGCGCATAGCTGTTATTGGAAATGCCGATGTTGGAAAATCAGGTGGGATGCTTACATTTACAAACTACTATATCCACATCCATATATACATATCGACATATTTACAGCGATTATAATATAGCACTCATCACTCAGTTATTCAAATGAAATTCTTGAACTTGCCAGCCAATGTCAAAATTCGTCACTGCTGCCGGTTAATTCCTAAATTAATATGTCGTATATAATTCAGAATGAACTCTCATGCGTCAACTTAAATTCGCACACGTCAGTTAACTTAATACAGTTAATTCTTGCTTATTTTTGGGCAGTAAAAAATATCAACACCAAACAAATTTGTCCATTTACTGAGTAACCAATTGGCTTGTTGTACATACATATGTATGTACGCGTACATATAAAATCGTAAACATTTATTCTTTCTTCTAACAAACACAATAAATTGTGTAGCTGTTTCGTAAATCTTGTAAACACTTGTTCAAGTGTATTTATCCTGACTCTTACATTACTACATAAATATGTACATGCGGATGTATGCATATATTGTACATTCATGCCAAATTTGTTGTAAAATTCCGTGGCTGTGTGCTCAAAATCGAGAGTGATACATATTTTTTAATAACAAACTATTTGCCCTAGTTTCGTGAATTCTTTAACAATTACAGAACTCATATTCGTACATACATCCATAACATAAATATGTACAATACATATGTATATAAGTGTAATAAATATACAATTGTATTCAAAATTTAGAAATTATCATTTTCATTTATTAATGTTCCACAGATGAAGAGAACCATATATACATACATATGTATGTAGGTACAATATATGAGTATTTCTTCAAATTTGAACCGCGTTCGGTGAGACAAGAACTCTGTAAAATTTGCAACTAGAGATCTTAAGTTTATCGTCTAATTTAGAGGGGAGCTAGCGAATTCGTGCTGGGAGTCTGAATATATATATTATTATATAAATTGGCGCTTTGTAACCGCTGAAGCGAGTTTTCGGCCGAGCACCTCCTCCGATTTCTGGTTTAGCGTCTTGGTGTTTTTCCAACAAATGGAGGTACAGTTCATGCTAGGCCGCCTCCGAACGGCTGAGGAGCTTTTATGTCCGAAATACGCTAGGAGGGGTGGCCGTTCCCTGACGAGCGGCAATTAGAATGCCGGCACGCGGAAATCTGAATATGCTTGGATTTTATTCAAAAAGAGTCTAAGAAATTCCATAATGAAGCATGGAGAATTGCATCAATAATTTTGGAATACAATTAATATATTAATCACATAACCGCTAACGAATAACATAATGCCGATAACAAATAGAACTATTACGCCGCGTTGCGTTACAGGTTGGCTTCGACGTCTAAGATGAGTGCTCATGTCAAAGTAGGCCATTTGAACGTCCCTTTGTTTTCTTAATTCGCGAATCATTTTTTGAATTGTCACACAAGCAAACAAGTTTTATATGCTATCAGCTTAAGTTTGACAAATATAACAGCGCGGAGCAGTTTCCTTACCAGAGAACCTTACTAGTTGTCGATGATTACCTCCCTCTTTTCTGCGCACAAAATTATTAGAACTGCCATCAGCATTACTCATTTTAATTAACTCATTTTGATAATTAAAGAAACATTACACTATCATGGAAATGAGTCATTTGTAGTTCTAACAAAATATTGCAACAAGTGAGGAAATTAAATTATGTATGTGTGCGATGTATAAACATATATATATACATATGTAATAGAAGTTATGCTTATGAGTATTAACAAATTGTTTTAATCAAAATTAATTTTGTATGCAAAATTGAAGCAACGAAATTGAACAAAAACAAATTTGTGGCAATAAACTCGAAAAACATATTTTTATATAATATAAATAATTTATTTTTTAACTCCAAACATATCGTATTTATAATACGAAGGTATCTATTATTTTTGTATGTACTTTTCATTTTATTTTTTTGTTGAATGCAAAAATTCCTATTTGTGACAATACTTATAATAATTCCCGTCTGAGCTGGTTACATACATATAAATATATAATAGTTTTCTTGGTATTTCATGAAACTCATATAATTCGAATATTATGTGTGTATATGTATGTATGAGAATTAAATGTACTAACCTTGTTGCTAGAAATCGTAATGGCATATTTGTATGTTTGTATGTGTGTAAAAATATGGTGGTAACATTTATTGCATGATTGCCTTGTCAAAGGAATCACTTACATACTCGCATGTACAATCCCTAGAATCAATGTCAACGCCATTGCATAAACAATTATTTCCAAAGCAACATGTCCTGTCGTACACGTGTATGTGTGTAAGAGTGTGTGTTATTTTTAGCTTTTATATATCCTTACGTTTGTACTTCTTACGATATCAGTATGAGGAATATTTTCCAACCATTACATTAACTTAGGGACCACAAATCGACACAAGAGTTCGTTATGTGAGGAGGATATTGGACATGAGGCACTGAAGAAAAAGATTAAAATACTTTGTAATATTAGAAAAACTTACTTTCATTCAAAATATATTTACATATGTATTGTACATGAAACAAAGCTTTTAAAATGTCGGAATGGTAGAAAGGAAGTAAGGTTAGTTATGTAGTGAAAATGCGTTAAGCTCCAATTTTTATATTATTATATTTTACTTTTATTGCGAGGGGAAACAAGGATAAAGTTTTAATTAATTTTTTAGCTTGGATTTTTTGCATTTCTTATTCTACTTACAAATAACAAAAAAGTAGCCAAGTGTAGAAAAAATAAAAATGATTTATTGCACATTTAGGATATAATAATTTGAGCTATGATATCTACTCGTACATATAAACGAAAATATTGGCGAGGCATCTAAGATGTCTAATGAAAATATTTTCATTTTTGAATTATTCACCTCGAAAAAAATACAAATTGAAAATTGTGAATGACAAATGGTGGTCGCATTTGAATTGAATTAAGTTCTCATAATTAATGGTCACATTCATATACATATGTATGTATGTACGAGTATGTATATTTTTTAAACACCTGAAATCGCTTTCGGCGATTATTAATTGCAATGTTTATGTTTATTTTATCGTTACAGCGCTGACAGTTCGTTATCTGACGGGTCGCTTCATTGGCGAATATCGCTCAAATACAGATTTATTATATAATAAAACGATCTCTTTGGATGCGGGCCTGACGGAAGTGGAAATCGTTGACGTATACGCCGGAAATGAAGATGATTTTCCAATGGAACAAGTGAGTGAATGTTTAATTTTGACACACATGCAGCATGAAATAGCAGATATACGTGTATGTACATGTGTCCATGGTAGACATAGCTATACATACGTACACGTTATCTCTTTTGTGTGATTATGGCATTTTGCGGAAAAGAGCATCATAGATTCTTGCTATTTTGATTAGTTTATGAGAAGAATTTTTATACACAACTGGAATTTAATGACAAAAGTACAATTAATAACCAAGCACGCAATGCTTTCCAGGTTCTTTGGGCCGACGCATGTATGGTCGTCTACAATATAACGGATCGAATAAGTTTGGATTATGCCACAAAATGTTTGGGCGAAATAAAGGCGCTACAGAATGGTCCGTCCGCCTACTTGATTGGCAACAAAGCCGATTTGGATCACTTACGGGAGGTGAGTTCATTTTATTTTATCTTACTCTATTTTATATTATTTTCTTTTATTCTATTTCATTAAATTTTATTTGACTTTATTTTATTTTGATTCATTCTACTTTAAATTTAATTGCGTTATTCTTAGTAGATTTACGCTCCTCCTCTTTGTAAAAGAATATCACTAAGAGACAAATCTTAATTATTTAGTGAGAATTTGTTTTTGGCATATATGTAAATGACTTTGTCTATTTGTGTCTTGGTCACTTTGAAGTATGTATGTATGTATGTATGTATGCATTGGCACTACTTTCGATGTGCATTCAACGCTAAGGTATTTATGTATGTACGTCTGTACATAGCACAAACATATCGTACATAGGTTCATTCATACAAGTGTGCTTCTCTCTGACAAATGAACGTCAATTTTGATGATCAGGCATATGCAAAGTAGTGCACATGAGCAAATCATATGTATGTATGTATGTATATATGTAGGTATGTATCTGTGCGATTGTGTTTGTAAAGTGTGTCAGACCATTGAACCAAGATGGCCGAAAATAAATAAATAAATGCCCAATGGCATTGTTAAAAGTTCACATCCTTACATATATAATATATACTACATATGTAATCGTATGTAGTTATAGTTGCATATACAAATACTCGTATATGTATGTATATATAAGTACATATGTGCGTATACTATTTACACATATCGAAATTATGCCCTTTTGTATTTATAATTTCAGATACCAGAGAAGGAGGGAGCTGCCGTGGCTGCTGCACATGCAACTGGCTTCTGTGAGGTATCCGTTGCCGAGTACACACCTTTACTGACCAAAGCCTTCGAAAAATTAATTATCGACTCCCGCACGCGTCCACAAAAGCAGATTCGCAAATTTTCTGTTAGCAAAATGCTGGGTACACTGATCGGCAGCAGCGGATATGGCAGCAACCGAAATTTGGCCATTAACCAGGGCACCGTAATACCCTGTCATAAGGGAGAATTGCACAAGACACGTGTTTTGAAGCGTCGACAAGGCTTTATGGCCACGTCCAGCTTGTGACCGGCAGCGGAGACTGACTGGTGAAGAGGGAATATTTAAAGGGCGGGAATGCTACAAATTTTGTTTGTATAAATGTACATAGGCTTATGAATAATTATAGATCATAGCATGTGGGGTAGAATTAGAAAACTCCCATTTTTCAACGTAAGGAAAACCATGTTGCTGAGTTAATTTGCCTTAAATCACAATATATATGGTGAGAATTAATTTATAACTTATGTTAATAAAAACACAGGATACCGTTTGTAGCAAGTTTTTATAGGGAATGTACAATAAATTCAACGTTTTTTGTATTGAAATGAAATTTCTGATACTATGTTACGTTACTTTAATAATAATATTAATACAATAGAAGGTTAAGAGCTGTAGAAAGAGAAACTTTGCGGTAACTAAAGAAAAAAACTACGGAATTTGTCAAAATATTCAAACTAAGACGTTTCGAAATTTCATTTGAAACAAAATTATGTTGGATTTCAAAAATTGAAATTATGTATTTTTTGTTTAAAAAAAAAATGCGCCTGTAAAAGAACTGTGATATGTATTTAAAGAAAAGATTTTTTATTGTAAATATTTAGCATTTTAAGTAATAGATACTTACCATAATATGTACATAAGTATATGTATCAGTACATTAATTTGCTAAGATCAGTCTTTATGGAACGAATTTGGTTATAAATTGCTTTATGCAAAATATTCAACCGCCATTATGCGTACAGACTTAGATATTTGGCATAAGGAACTAAACGAACTAACCAAAATGTAATAATTTTCTTGCTTAAAATTATTATTAATTTTATTCTTTGATTGTTTTTCTTTTATAAATTATCTTACATATGTTTATAAAATGTAAATGCAAAATATAATGAAAGTCTCCGAAATTCACCTTTTTTGCTCTTAAAAAGTATTAATGTTCGAAAACTTTCCAACACGACTATGACTATTAATGACACTTGCATGAGATTCAATTGCCACGAAATAGTCGTATTCTGATTATGTTTCACACAGATACATAAATAATCAATATTCAGTAAAAATAGATGAACCACGCCTTGCAGTAACTGTGCTTAAAATAATCTAAAGGAAAATGAAATACTTTGATATTGCATTTATAGTTTAGTTTGCTTTCGTTTTTGCTTCTCAAGTTTTCAAAAAATTATGCTTTTGTATTATTTCTTGAATTAAATTATATTTGGAAAAAGCAAGAAGATTCTACCTAATCAACTAACACACAATTTTCTATTGGGTTTAGTGAGTAATAAGAACCATTTCCACCGTATTGTAAAATATATATGTATATATATTTATATATATATGTATATTTATATGTAAATGAGTTTAATAAATTTCCAAGGAAGAAATTTTGTATAACTGAAATTCAAAACAAGTTTTTATTTTATTTTACGTATAACGAGACAATATAATTTTTTCCGAACTCGCATAGGTCGTGTTTGTAAGTATAATAATAACGATATCGAGAAACATGTAGCTAACTCCATTGCCACGTAAAGAAATTAAAAGTTCCTGCATTTGTATTTTTTATCTGATACTGGACTGTGAATAAGAACTCAGTCGGAGATAGAACTTTTTTCTTCGTACTTAGCTTATTAGGCACAATATATACATTTCAGTTAATATATTTTGTTAGAGCCGAAGCTTAATATAATCACTGTAGAGGATCCATTTTTTATGTTTAGTTTCGAATTCGCTGTGCTATATACATATATAACTCAGTTGTATATACATATCCCTTTATCATGAGAATATTTTCATTATGTAGAATCTATAGAACATGGAAAACCGCTGGGTTAATTTTTGGTCTCCTGAAACGAATACAACAATTCTTGGTATTTCGGATTATATGAGTTTCCTTTCAATTGTTTTTTTTTTTTTTTGCTATGTATGTATTGATGACGTACAAAATAAAGTTAAGGTCTTACACGTGTAGTATTTGTGCACGTGGTATATTTCAGAGTACATTTTCTCACATTTATCCTAATTGTGTTATGGCGGTCGCACTTAAATTGATTGGGAAAAATGCAAGACAGTTAGTTTCATTAAAAAAATAAAATAAACAAATCCAAAAAAAAAATAATAATAATTATTTAAAAAATGTATTTTTATTGAAATGATATGCACATATAATTGTCAGACTATTTTCTCAAAGTAGTAAAATTTTTATTAGAAAAAACTAAGAACTCACATACACACATATGGTTAAACTGTATCTCGGATTGCAATACATTTACCTACATAAAAAAGCATAAATCCGCATAAAGCATACTATATTTACTAAATTGTTAAACCTATACGGAAGCATTTATGTCTGCATTACATTTTTAATATAGTTCAAAACGTCTTTGTGAACGAGTACACCCATATGATCCACGCCGTTTAAAGCTACGTTTGTAATATTGGCATTTTGTCGCCCGATCCATGCGTGACAAGCACGTAGTGACCTTTGGTTAACCGTGCCATCGCCCTTACCCATTATCAGTTTTGGAGTTTCATCAACAAGTGCATCCGTTTTATATTGTAAGCTGCAGCAAAAAAATATTATTAGTAATTTCATTAGCATTTTAGCTTATACAATCTTCCAAACATATAAATATACCGTTCCACTGTATCCAAATTATCTCCATATAGGCAATGTAGTTCAATTTCGGGGGGACTGAAATTTAAAGTAAATTTCATATTGTCTTGGCGCATATTCCAACCAATAGAGTAATCGATGTCATCGAAAAATTGCTTTAATTGTGACATTGTATAAGACCGACCAGGAGTTTCAATCAAAACTTCGGAAGGCCGCCAAAAGAGAGGAGAAGGTAATAACCAAGCGGTAGACGGGTTCGTAATTTGTTCCTGTTTTAAAATTTTTCCACTCAGGAAAAATGAATCCAAATCGTCACCTTAAAGTATAAATTGTGCATGGATTAATACAAAATAGCTGCAAGAGCATCATAGTCTAATTAATTCAAATAGAGTACTCCAAGAGACTCACCCATTGCAAATACTTTGACAGCCTTCATGCTACCCGCCCAAGCTCCAGCTAAACTTATTTGTCTCTTGACATATTTTTTCCTCCATTCCGTGGTCTGTTGATGGAGGAACACTAAGGTCATTGGGCTGCCCATGCTGTGTGAAATAAAAGTCACCGGCGTTTTAGAATTTCGTTCATAAGTGTCTTCAACAAGCTTTTTTAAATCAATGAAAAACTGGCCAAGTTCACCTATTCGTTGCAATGAATGTAATCTTATAATATATTGTTAAAGTGATCAAATATGTTTCAGAAACTTACTTGGCCCTTTTCGAAAGTCGTACGGTGCTCCGTGAATATTCTTCTTACGTTCATACCCCAAATTAACAAGCACATTAGCAATATCCTTGAAATAAGCACCAGCTTTATTATGCGTTGGGTCTATCCATTCAACAACCTCGGGGTCACCCCATCCAGGAACACGTATTTCTACTCCGGGAGAATTATGCGTGGTTCGCGTTATATTGTCATAATATAGCTTCACATTTTCAACCCAACAATAAACTGGCGGTATGACCAACAATTCTAGGTTCAACCACAAGCTAAACCAGTCCGATTTTTTAAAGCAATATATGGGGGCATCAGGTTTGTTGAGTTTAGCTTCAAGTTGGCTTCCACCATCGCCAGGAACTGTTCACATGCATTGAGACATATACATATACTTAAGCCAATACATAATAAAACGCGCGAAATCGTTATAAAAACAATCATACTTACCAAATATTACAGGAGATAGTAATTTCCGTTGTTTAAAAAATGACCCCGCCTGGGTCTCTCCAATTACAATCAGAATAGCCAAGCAACAAAAGTTGAATTGTTTCATTGTTAATTACAGACTTGAATTCTTCTTAATACACACGCTTGATAATATACATATGTATGTGTATAAGCATGTGTTAATGTTATCAACTCAGAGAGCAACGCAAGATTAGTTTATTTGTTTGCTTTGTTCTCTTATCAACCAAGCAATGTTTATACAGAAATCTGCAATTGCACCACTAACAATGGATCTGTAAATATTAAAAATTGAGAATTATTATTTCGAATAGATTACTTGATTTTCAAAGGCCTTGCTTATTGCGTATGTATGTAAACGTTTTAGTATCATTAAACACTATAATAAAAATGTTAATACGCACAACAAAACTAAAATGACGTCAAATCAATTGCAGCGCAGAATTTAAAATACTATTTTACATTCTCTCCTTTAAGTAAAGATCAGAGTATAAAAGGGTATGGAAACTCTCAGCTGCTTTACGAAATCAGCTAACAGCTGAGAGGGGTCTTTGGATTTGACTAAGGGTATCTTGAAGGTGAATAAAATTTTTGACAACCAGCATGGTGAAATTTTTTTATGGCACAAGGTCGCTTTGATATATTTTTTTAAAATCTTAAAAAAAAAATTACTCAAAAATGTCCACTAAGTTTATGTATTTTATGTTTTTTCTATGGTAAATGTGATCTTCATACTAATGTTTTAAATGTAAAGTTCATGCAAAGAACGTATATAAATAAGAAGCGACATGACTCATATGGTCCTTGTGCAAATGCGGTAGGGTCGTTTTCAGGGTTTCGCGTCCTCTTCACACCATTTTTCGTGGACCAATGTGAATAGATGGGTAAATATAAGCTCAATTCGCTTTGAATATTTGCTTTTGGCGGCGATGAAAACAAATTGCAAATTATGAAGGGGTAGAAACAAAGAACGTGTAATGAATATACGTTCTTTGGTTCATGCTTCAATTCTACTCGTGTTAAGCCAACAAGCACAAATGCCAAATGTTCTACCCGAGGTGAATTCAAAATGAAATAAATTTGCCACGAAGCAAAAGTTGGGAATGTCTGCCAAAGAACGTATAAGAATAAGAAGTTACATGAATTCATATACGTTCTTTGATATACGTCCGTTTGGCCCATTGGCCGTAAAACACATTAATGTAAGGAGCGGCAACAACGTAACGACAAAACGATCCCAGCTGTTTTCAAAATAATATAATGTGGCAACAACTAAACAGTATTTTGTAAAATATTGTTTCGTAGTGGCAGGGCATACAAAGTTAAATTTAATATGAGCGGCAACTAAGAAAGTTTATTAAAAGTTCGATAATATATTTTGCAAAATACTTAAAATTTCATAACATTACAGTAAACCCTTATTAAAATGGAGGAGGATTTGTTTAATATGCCATTACCGGAAGTGAAACGAGAGCTTCGTCGCGGCTTTATCGAGTGTCAAAAACGTGGTTTAATTCAAAGTGCTAAATGGCTTGCTGAAATGAGCCAAGGATTAAGTGATATTGATTGTGAAGTTGCTGGTAGCAATAGTTGCAATCAACATATGACATATGATGGAGGAGAAGCGTGTTTGTTTTTAGAAGGAATAGCGGTAGCTGAATATGATAATTATTTTCTCGCTAAAAGTTATTTTGATGTGCGTGAGTATGACCGAGCCGCATACTTTGTGCGTAATTGCGAATCCTCAGTACCTCGATTTCTTCATATTTATGCCACTTACTTGGCAAAAGAAAAGAAACGCTTGGACTCCACGACGGATCGTTCAAATCTGAATGACACTGGTCACGTACGAGATATGACAGATTTATTGTCAACACTCCGTTCTGAATATTCACATGGTCGACTTGATGGTTATGGCATATACCTTTATGGAGTAGTGTTAAAGTCCTTAAATTTAAACAAAGTAGCCATACAAATGTTTATACATGCAATTCGATTATCGCCAATGTTGTGGGCAGCTTATGTTGAATTGGCTCCTCTTATAGTGGAAAAAGAAAAAATGTTATCATTAAATTTTGGAGGACATTGGATGAGACATTTCTTTGTAGCACATACCTACATTGAAATGTACTTAAACGACGAAGGGCTGAAAGCATATGAAGATCTTCAACACGCGGGGTTTCGAAAAAGTGTCTACGTCACATCTCAAATGGCGCTTGCTTATCACAACAAAAGAGGTTGAATAAATTAGTATATAAAAATTTTTTTTTAATACTTGAATTTTTACAATACTAATTAATTACACATCATTTCAGATGTGGATCGAGCAATAGAAATTTTTCAAACACTACAGGAAGTAGATCCCTATCGTTTGGAGAACATGGATACCTATTCTAATTTGCTATTTGTAAAAGAACTTAAGACTGAAATGGCTCAGCTAGCACATAAAGCTGTCAGCATTAACAAATATTGTCCAGAAACTTGTTGTGTAGTTGGTAATACTAAAATTTTAATCTCTAGGAATTATACTATTACATACTTTTTAGGAAACTATTATAGCATACGTTCAGATCATCAAATGGCTATTGTGTATTTTCAAAGGGCTCTTAAACTAAATCCTAAATATTTGTCTGCATGGACTTTAATGGGGCACGAATTTATGGAACTTAAAAATACAAATGCTGCTATTCAAAGTTATCGAAAAGCGGTTGGTAAGTGAAAACTATCAATATAAATATATATATTTAAGCAAATTCAAATTATCACATTTAGAAGTCAATAAGCGAGATTACCGCGCGTGGTATGGACTTGGTCAATCATATGAAATACTCAAAATGAATTATTATAGCTTATATTATTTTAAAATCGCACATCAATTACGGCCGTATGATAGTCGAATGCTCGTAGCATTAGGAGAAACATATGAAAAATTGGAAAAATTTGATAATGCTATTAAGTGTTATTGGAAAGCCTGTGATGTGGGCGACATTGAAGGAGTTGCTATGTGGAAACTAGGTGGCCTACATGAAAGGAGGGGAGAAAAAGATGATGCAGCGCAATGTTATATAATTTTTAGCGACGACGAACGTGCAACAACCGACAAACAAAATCTGTATCATAGTCTTATGGTATTGGCAACCTATTTCGAGGAAAGAGGGGAGTTTGATAAAGCTTCACATTATGCTTACAAGTGTCTCGAGTCCGATGAGGTGAAGATATGTTATTTTTTAAAATAATAACAATATATTATACTTAAAATTTTTTGTAGAAAAAATCTGAGGCCAAAGCTTTGCTAAAAACCATTGAAAATAAACGCAGTGGACAAGCAATCACAAGTGACAGCGAGGTAAATAATTCTTCGAATGCTAACGTAATAGCAGCGGATACGTCATCAGATGATGACATGGAAATGGAGTTGAGTGAGTACTTGTGCAGTGATTATGTATTGGCCGGCCAATCAAATACAAAGGGGCCGCCAAAGACTACAGCTACCAGTGCGGAGAGTGCAACCAATTCACATTTGGCATCAAGTACTGCTGAAATGAGCTTAAATGAAAGCGAAATGGTCGCTTCTAATAATGCGAATGAATCTGGGCCAAGCACAAGTGCAGCGGCGGCTGCAGCCAGATCACTTTTGCGACAAAATGAAAGATCTACTGCACCGACACATTTAGAGAGTAATGACGACGAACCGCATTCTATGGAAATATCATCAATTTCTATAGATTAGAAACATTTAAATATGAATGTGTACATTTTTTAAAGTAATGGAGTCTTCCTTTCCCTCCTATTCTCTGCTATATCTTGCTCAACGCTGTTCAGCTTAATAAGTCTTATTATAATTTATGTCAGATGTTTAATTTAGAGGTCAATTGTAAAGATATACTATAAAGTTAATATACATGCAAATATTATATATGTATGTTCCGTAACGAATTTCCTAAAACCGAAAACTAGTATGACGGTGATTGAAGCTGAATAAACAGAATTTTTAGCTAGATTTATATGCGTCTTGATGTTTTCCCAACAAATTTTTTCTAAGCCGCTTTCCAACGGCCAATGGATTTTTATTTATTATTTCGTACCAGAATTAACTCGGCTATCAAGGCACACTTTTACTTATTTTAATAAAAATGTATCAACTTTATTGCGCTCGTTTAATTCGTAATACCAGACTCAAGAAAAATAATAATTTAAACAATAAAATCCAAATGAGAAGAACAATTACATCATGTCCGTACAAATCACCCAGCATGTCTAGCTCCTTCAACAATTTAGATGGTGATTTGAAGTAACAAAATTCCACATGACACTCCAAATCAGGACGATCATAGCCATATATAGCTTGCATTAGAGCCTCCATGGTATAACGGTAAAAGGAGATGTCACATAATGGTCGGAAAATAGCGGAGAGCTCATGTATGCGTATGAAAAATCCAGAAAATATCATAAAAGGAATTGATAATCCAGGTACCAATAGAATTGCCATCTTAAAAGTTTGAATGTTAATTAATCTTTCTTCCTTCTTTTTTAGTTTTATTGTATATTGAATACCTGTAAATCAAATGTTGAGCCAAAAGCTAAGCCCATAAAGTGTCCGACTATAGCTAGAATCAAACTAACTCCCCAGCACATTGCGAATCGGGCGAAAACATCCGGCTGACTAGTCATAATATATATGATAGTTGTAAATAGTGTTGGACAGATTAAGAGCATTGGAAGGTCTGAGGTGAGTTTAGAAGCATAATATGCACTAAGCGAATACCAACCGTTTAAGTACTCGCGTGTAAAGACCGCCGTATCTTGTGGACCTTAAAAATAAACAAAAATGAAGTTTGAATTTTTCCAAACATTATATATAAATACATATTTGTATGTGTACATATATTATTTGTATGTATTACTCACATAACAATATAGATGGCATTGCATTGCCGAAGAAAATAAACATTATAATGAAAAATATACACGAAATGTTTGTTAAAGTTCGCGCTCCATCGTTTCCAATATCCCAAAATACAGCCCCAACAAGAACAGCAACAATAACATGTATAATAACGCGCAGCTGCACAGCTATCTGATATTAAGATTAATACATATATATATATATATACATATGTTTACAGGTGTAATTACTAATGTTACCAAGTTTCTGGTCATTGTGCGTAATGATCTCCGGGTGAGTATAATCAGTTGCCTGCAAAAGCCGGCTGGAGCTTTGGGCCGTACGACGGATAATTTGCTTCCTTCGTATGTTAAGATATTAAGTATTTTTGCTATAAGAACAGAAGAATAATACATAAATAATTATAAAACTATAATATCAGATATTTTCTATTTTGAGAACAAGACTTTCGTAACAAAAGGGTCATTGAGCTCCCTTTATCAAAAGGGATGCGAGTGAGCACACCAATTAAAAGCACTCATATATATAAGTGCCCACTTCACTTGAGCAAACAAACACCGTAAATAGTAGTTATTCATATTTCAAGATGTTGCCTTACTTCTTTCATTTACGCAGCTATCCATATCCGCGGACAGTATAGTACATTCTCCACAATGTCGTTTCTTATTCCATTCGATCAAATCTTGCAATCGTTCGTTGTGCTCTTCACTGCTGACCTCTAAAGCTGCAGCGCAAAAAAATACACATTTACATACAATAATCTAATTTAAGCATTACCCAGTTGTTCTGAGTCTCACCGAAATCAGCAGGGTTGTAAAAATCGGGAAAGGCAAAGCCTGCTGACTCAAAGGTGGGTACCATATCTGCTTTTGGACCCGCGTACACCACCTTGCCACGTGACATAACTAAAACATCATCGAACAGTTTCATAAGTTTCGAGCTTGGCTGGTGAATTACGCACACGATAATTCGACCGTCCAGCGCCAGGCGTTTTAAGTAATTGATAATTTGTAAACTGGCAACACTATCCAAGCCGCTAGTGGGCTCATCAAAAAACATTACCGGCGGATTAGTGACCAGTTCAATAGCCATAGATAAACGCTTTCGCTCGCCACCAGAAAGATTACGCACCAATCGGTGGCGACATTTCTCCATGTTAAGTATTTGAATAATATTATCGATCTAGATGAAATTGAACTCATTCACATGCACGCTAATAACACGATTGCTTGGCACACTTACAATTTTTAGTTTCTCTTCGGCTCTCGTTTCTGATGGCAGTTTAAGATCGACCGAATCGCACATTGTCTCCTGTACCGTTAGTAAATCGAGTAAAGCAAAATCCTGCGGAATGTAACAAGACGCTTTGCGAAAAGCCAAAAGATGTCGCTCTTTTTCATTGAAGATAAATTTACCTTTGACCCCTGTAGCTCTGAAAGTATCTCAATTCAGTAATAAGTTAATAATTTTATTTAAAAGACATTTGTTATCGTACTTGAACCCAGAAAGCACATTGAGAATCGAGGTTTTACCAGCACCAGATGGTCCCAAAATAGCCGTAAGGCGACCAGATGTGAATTCTCCGCAAATATCGTTGAGTATTGTTACCAACGTTTTATCTAAGGAGACGCGAGTATGCGAAAAAGAGGGGATGTTAGAATAATATACATATGTATGTAAATAGGTATGTATTACTATATGAGGGGATTAACAAGAGTTCCGTAAGTTGACCAGAAAAAAATAAAAAAAATTCCGTTTGTCTTTCTTATCTTGTCTAGATAATCGCCATTTCAATGCCTATAGATTCACTTTTGAAAACAGTCTTCAAAACCTTGCTTTTTAAACTTATCAAGTTCAGCATTAACCGCAATAGTTAGGTCTTCATTGAAATATCCAGAAATCACAATGTACTATAACCGAAGAATATGGTGCTGAACGTTATCATTGGAAGATTTTGGACGAACTTCTCGAGGCTCGTCCTTAGAAATAGTCGTTGAAGACGGCGCAATCGTTCCATACGCAATTTGGCATTCACTGAATATTTGTTTTGGCTGTAAATTACGCCGAATCCGAAGAGAAGCACATGGCCGACTCTCACGACAGCCGGTTCTACGCACCGGAGTTGACCCGGATTTTATCCGGCCAAGGGCTGTCACCCTTNTTAGGACTGCGACAGGAAACCTCCTGATGTCGCCGGAGCATCACTTGCACAGGGAAGCATCTATGCTACGAGTTAAGGAGCATAATGCTTTGCTGTGCAAGCAGTTCCTACTGGGATGCTACCGCAGGGAGCAACCCAGTAGGCACTTAATAGAAGCTGAACCTCCACCTAGGCACATCAGGAAGGGACCTACTCATCTAACACCCCTCTCCCTTTGGTCCAACCCCGTAGAAACAGTTCGTTTCCTGGGCCTACCCTTAGATGACCTCGACGACTTAGACTAACTCAAGCCTGTGCCTAAGCGGGGTTAGCGAATCCGCTACAACAACAACAACAACAGAAGCACATGGTGAATCCCTGTTTGCTCTGGTGGTGGAAATTCGTCTGACCTATACTCAGCTATCTCGCGTTTTTTAAAGCAAGACTAATAAGTAATTGCAAAGGATTTGGTATTTTTAGATTTAGCAAAAACAAATTGGAAGTCATCAACTGACCGAACTTTTGTTATTCACCTCGTTTTTGAATAGTATGGAATTGTAAATAGTTAAATGGAGTTAAAATTAAGATCTAAAAGACAATGTATGAAAATGAATATATTTGAAAATGTTCATAAAGTTAGAAAATTAGATTTGATCGAATACTTAAAATTGTGGCAGATAACAGAAGGTTAACAAATTATCAAAGAACGAAGTAGAGAGATTTTGCACGAACATTTGAGTATGGAAAAAATTAGTGCGCGCTGGGTATCGCGAGTGCTCACGCCGCTCAACAAGCACCGAAGATTGCAGACTTGTAAGATTTTTTGGTTGAAATTTTCAACCACATTATAAGAGTTGATGAAAATTGGATTCGTCTGTGTGATCTCGAGCCTAAAAAGGAGTCGATCCAGCGAATAAAAAAGGGGAAAAGGAAACCAAAAAAATTCAAAGTTGAAAAGTCGGCGTCGAAATTGGCGCTTTGTAACCGCTAAACTGGTTTTCGGCCGAGCTCCTCTTCCAATTTGAGGTGTTCTGATATTTTGATGTATCTTGATGTTTTTCTAACAAATGGAGGGACCTACAGTTTATACTACACCGTCTCCGAACGGCTGATGTTTTTTTTATGAGGAGCTTTTATTTCATGTCAGAAATACATTCGGAGGGGTTGACATTCCCTGCCGAGGGGCGACTTAACTTAATTTTTTAATTTTTTTATTTAAATTAGTTGTTATTGTATTTGAATTTTGGGATTTGGAGAATAAATATACTGTTTGCGGTGGTCAAAGAAACATGGTTCAAGGTATTGCCGGAAGAAATTCATAACCAGATTTCTTTGATCCCAAAGAAATGAACATCTGGGTGTACTTTAGTTTTGACCAGCTCTTATTGTTTATAGGATGAATATTTGTAATTTTATTTAATTAAAATTGAAATACTGTCTAATGTTGTGTTATGTTTGTTAAAATACCTAAATGTTGAAATAGAAATGTAAGGAAACTCAGGGTATACATTACTGCAATTATTCGAGTTCTTTCATTGAGTTATTTGGCTTTATTTGGTGGGGGTGTACTTTAGTTTTGGCCAATACTGTATATTTTGCTCGACTTAAATTCGCTCGAGAGTTGACTGAGTAATTTAAAACTAAAAAAATGTTAATGGAAATTTTTCCCAAGTTATTTTCAATTAAATTATTTACAATGTGATATACTTACTTTGCTTGGAAACATAAAACACATTGCTAAAGTGAAGTTTGAACTGTTGTTGGCCGAGAAGATTCCCTTGTGATGAACTGCTGCAAGCACCGGTTTCATCAATTCCTTCTGTAGAAACGTCGATTGTGCATTTATTATCCTTATCTGGCATATCTAATTATGTCTCCGCCGTTATGCTTTTATTGAAATAATCGGCTTACTTAATCTTTATTGATACGATGTGATCAGCAAAATTAAAAGCAATGTACATATATTTAGCTGGAGATTGAAATAACAACTGATTGTTTTAGATTCACCAACCTGCTTGATAAATAAGTATTTCTTGGCTGAGTTTTATAACATCAAAAAAAAGGAATTAATTTTACTTTTGAACTTAACACAACCACGTACTAAAGTGGGCAGGGGTTTCCAAACAACAAAGCGTACATAGCTAAATTACATTTTCTACCGCGAACATGAACACCTACAATACGTATGTGTGTACATGTGATCATATGCTCATCTTATATGTATATACTTTGCTCCTCTCCATTTTAAGCCATTTACTCGGTGATATAAATGCATGTATGTACGTATAGGTATATGTTTTATAACTTTATAGATAAAAAAAGTTATTGAAATAATAAATTTTGAAGTTTTTATTATTTTTCGTGAACGAGCGATTTAGTTGGATTCGACAATCAAGCTCCAATACATGTTTACATACATGTACATTTGTAAATGCAGGCTTATTCAAAAATTACTGTTTACACTTGAAAAGCTCAAACCTGACTAATTGAAGCGGCCAAACCACAGTTCGGTCAGCGTCAAATATACAAATGTACGCTACACAAAGAGAGTGCACTTAACTTTTATTTATTTATTTATTTTTTTTATTCTGAGAAATAAGTTGCAACTGAAAGAAACGCTTTGCAGGCGGAAGAGAAAATTCAATTACTTAGAAACTGGTCTTTCATCACCATGCACCGATCACCAAGTTATGAATAAAAGAGAGAGCTCTTTTTATACCCCACAGTACCTTTCAGAAGAGCATCGTATTGTTGTTTTCCTAACGGTTGGTTGGAATATCATAAAATTTCGGCGATTCGCTAGATATTTTACCAAATTCATGGACCTCTGTTAATTTAAAAAAAAAAAAGATGAAGAAAACAACAACATGAATTAATATTGGTAGCTGTTCGGAGGCGGCTTAGTATAAACTGTAGGTCCATCCATTTGTTGTAAAAATATCAAGATGCTCACCACAAAGCGTCAATAATATTACAATATAATAACATACATAGGTAAGTATGTTAGTTACCGGACAGTGCAAAGACTTTTTTAGTGGGAGAGATATGTTTGAAAGAAAAATTAGATTATGTTATTATTACAAATAGGTTTAATATGCTTAGTTTTAGTAAGAATTAATATGTAGTTAATTCGACAGACATTAAAGAAATATAAATTTCTTTTTTGGAAACTCCGACTGTGCGGTGAATTTAATGAAAACCTACCCGGTAGGATTAATCTGCGTAAGGAGTTCTTAAGAGAAATGTTTTACTGCAGTTTTCCTCACTCCAATCAAAAGACGAGGTGGAGAAGGATCTGCCTGTATCAGATATTTCTAATTGGTGCCAAACAGCGAAAAGAAGGAATAAATGACTCGCTACAGTCATGTATGCGGTGTCTGCGCTAAAAAAGCTCTTCGTTGAGTTGATATGACATATTTATATGAAAACATACTTTAAAAAAAAAAAATAAATATCTAATAAAATCATCTATGGTCCAAAGGCTCATAGTTTTGCCTATTTTTCAAGCGACATCCTTTTGTGAAAACACCAGAACACCAAAACATCGAAACACATCCAACCGCATTTCGCGTTAAAGCGAAGTTTCAGCCAGGTATGAGGTGCTCGGTTTCTGCCGAACTTAGTTCTTTCTTATTTGCATTAAATTGTGTCAAATGTAAAGAAAAATGAATGTATTCGTTATTGATAGTCTTAAATTTTAGTTAATAAACTTTATAGAACAATCACTGTGTTCCAAAAAAGTAGAGTGAATTTTGAAGTTTCAAACAGCTGAAAGGAGGATTTCAAACCAGTCCAAGGGATTTAATTAGATATTTATGTATGTATCAGTTGTTTTTGTTATTGCTGTTTTACTTCATCAAGGTCACCTCGCTGAAGCGGGGAAATGGTCTTTTTGATTAAGCGCGACAAAGAGTTGGTTAGTGTCGCCCGGGGTCTTGAACTGCACATACAACATACGTGTAGGTAGGGCATGTTAGGCAAAGGGCATTATCGTTACGTTCATTTGTTCTTCCACAATTGTTCCAACATTGCTTTATCTATCATCCACATATATGCTTCTGAAGGCTTACACACGTACCCAAATGTCGTTCGCGCAAATATTTCATCCTTCTTGGGTTTGCGCAAATCAGTTGTTTACATACCAACCGCCTTTATCAATGCAATTCCATTGCCTCGATATTGATAAGAATGCTTTTATTACATACGTGTACAAACATATATTGTTTATATACGTGTATGCACATATGTACTTTTATACCATGCGAAAAATGGGAGTACTGTCTGTATTAAATACTCCACGGTTGGCAATCGTCCTCAGGACGGCACCACAAACTCCAACTGAACAACATCGAAACCTTTCCCAAAGCACTACGAATATAAACGATCATTTCATTTCTATACAGATGTACATATGTATATGTAAATAGAATTTGCGCATTTGCAGCATTGTGTAGTGTATGTAATCGTTAAACTCGAAATTGAAACAGAAGCTGGTAGTCTTCTGTATTACAGAGGAGCATTTGCTGATTGCTCCAGTATTACACAAACGGACCGATTGGTCCATACATTTTCGCAGGGGAACTCGTACCAGCTGCAATATTTGCGCACACATGTACTAAGTAACGATTAGCAAGCGCAGGCTTATCACTTGAATTAAACAATCTAATAGTATAAACTCAAATAGTTAGTCAGTAATATATAGAAATATATAATTAAATTATTGGACTTGAACCCATTCCACAAATGTACAGTGTTTGAGTGTGCACGTATCTTACTAATGGAATATATACATACATACATATACATATGTACATATGTATGTACTTCATAAATCTAACATACGTTTGTACATTCGAAATGTAAATTGAGCACAGCTTCAAAGTGATTTTTAGCCTCCCAAATTTTTGAAAAGAAAATATTTCTAATTTATTATATAATTTACTAATCGAAAGCAGCAAGATTCCGATAATTTGGTAACTACATACATACATATCTTGCAAAAAATTAGCTGCAAAAACATTGATACCCACTGAAGTTTAAGGAGAAGCGTCGTGACCGGCCAACCTCCTTCTTCAATTTGTGGTTTGCGTCTTGATGTTTTTCCAACAAATGGAGGGATACTAAGCCACCCCCATAGCGCTAATGGGTTTTTATGAAGAACTTAAATTTCATGTCAGAAATTAACTCGAAGGGCTCGACATTCCGTGCCGAGGGGTGATCGCAATTAGATAAGGTGATTTTCTGTAATTTTGGATATTGGTTGGACCAAGAAGCATTAACATCAATAACAACATCAGCTCCCAATGTCTCTCGTGGAATGAAAACCAAACTACACAAGTCCTCCCAAGTTATCATTACCGGTCGCACTAAATGGCGCAGAAGTGTGTACGACAACATCTAATGAGTCGGCTCTAGGAGTCTTCGAGAGAAAGGTATTGCGAACGATTTATGGTCCTTTGTGCATTAGCAACGGCGAATACCGTAGACGATGAAACGCTATGCGATGATATTGACATAGTTCAGCGAAGGAAGCTGCCTAGGTTATAGTAAAAGTAAAGTAATCGATGCAGTACCCGCTGGTGGAAGCAGAGGAAGAGGAAGACCTCCACTCCGCTGAAGATATGTACTCAATATGATTTGTACACGTATATATGCACTGAAACGGATGAAGTTGTGTTATTTATTGTAAAATTAACATTTTGTTTGAATCGATTTGATGATAAGCCAAAACCGAGACTATAATGGAAACAGTTAGATATTTATATATAAAATGCGCTTTTCTACATTATGTAACCGTAACATATAAAGGGTGATAGCGTTTTGGTAAAGAGTTTAGCTTATTTATAAACAGAAAGAAATTTGTGAGATCCGCCAAGTGACCGTCGCGGTTGACTCGAATAGATTTGAACCGGGAAGCTCAGTTTTCGATCACTTTTTGCAACAATTGGAGCTTACATACAGCAATATGGTGCCGAATATTGTCTTTCAAGTTATAAATCATCTCGGGCTTACCGGCGTAGACAAATAACTTCACACAACCCAACAAAAAAGTCCAGCGATGTAAAAGCCCACCAAGAATTACCTTCATTGTTTTCACACTTTCGTCGGCATCCTCCATTGATTGGCTTATGGACGGCTTCAATTTTTAAATAAATATGGACTAATGATTCTCTCTGCCCAAAGAGGACACCAGACAGTGAAATTTTGAGGATGTAACGGCGTCTCAACAATGGTTTGGGGATTATCATAACCCATTCAATCAAAAGTGAGCGTAATATCTAAACCAAATTTTCCTGTGGAAATCGGGACCTGTTGCCGTCTCTCTTGCGGGCCGTTTGAATTTAATTCTCGCACGAGTTGGATTTTCTAAGCCCGCAAATCAAGACTCATCCGAAAAATCTTCCATAAAGGAATCATTCGAGTCTTTTTCGATACTCAGCTCCTAAGTAGCAAAGACGTCTTTGGTGCACACTGTACGGCGTCTCTGGGGCCGTGCATGTCCACCGTGGTGCAGAGCCGATCCAAAATTGTGCAGTAAAGTGTAATATAAATATTTTAAATAATGTTCGCAACTACGTGAGGTAAATAAAACTTAGCGTTTATTCAATATTTTTGATATGCAAATTATTCTTATGTCGGCGTTTTTGATAGCTGAGCAAACAAACTTACTTCTCCTCCTTTGTTTTTGAACGTATGCACACATATATAAGTTTATGACACTTGAATTCACTGCAACACTTCGCGAGCTGCATGGAGCATTCAAATTCGTTGAGATATGTAATCAATTAATATTCATTGCGCACTGCCAATTATTTGTGCGAACTTGACCACTTAATCTCTGCCACTTTATGCATTACACAAAATGCTGCGTCTGCGTTATTTATTATAAAACTTCTTTGTTTTATTATTGTGCTCACATATCTAATATGTGCAAACGCATTTTGATCCAGTGGATTCATCCGTATACCAACAATAGTTTCATAAATTAACCGATCTCACACTGATTGCCCTCTAATCACTCTGTTAGCTTGGAGCTCCATGACCAATGCTCCAGGGAAAAAGCTCAGCTGCTCACACACACATCACACTCTGCTGATTTAGTGATAACGCGAAAGTTCAAAGAGCGAAAACTTTGAGTGAATAACGTTCATCATAAAATTGAGTGATTTATAAATTTTTTGCTTTTTTATTCAAATGAGACGGTTTTATTTAAAATAAAGGAAATTGATGAACAACTTTGAATGAGCATATGTATATATGAAGGAGTGCATATGTAGAAATTGCATATTTATCTATGGGCCTAGAAAGAGACACTACTCCTTTGCGATCCTTTTACTTGAGTAGTATGCGACTTGACACTTCCTAGTTTCACTGGAAGCTGATTCTTCGGCACAATAGAATTATTTATTTTTAGTAATTTATTGAAAACGGCAGAGGAAACGTGGAACAGAACACCGTCACCGGTCTGTTGGATTTTTCCTTTATTCTTCTGCCCAGCACTCGTGGTTGGGCGAGAGGTGAGTAACGCTGGGCTCGTCGTCAGGAAAAAAAGACTTTAAATTGAAAATACATGCATATGTACGCAAGTGTTTTATTTGCAATGAATCGTTCGATTTTCATTTTATCTAAAAATATTAATTTAAAAAACTAACAGTGTCGAAATATAGCTTTTTTCAACTTTACTTAAAATCATGGTGGTCATTATATATAAAATATTTAATAAAAAATGGAACATGTTTATATTTTCCCTATATATACATTACTGTTGTTAGTAATGTTGAGCAAAATAAATTGAATAGGTAAATTATATTATGTTTATTAAAAAATTGAAAATGTTAGTGATTACTTCGTAAATTTGATTAGTCGAGAAAGAGCATCTGAGCCATGCATAATCTGTATGTATGTATGTTCATTCGTAAAGGTTTATATTGTCATATATTCCAAACTTTTTTCAAAACCTTTTAGCACTTCTGTTAGAACCACCGAGACTGTAGGTCATGCCAAGGGGATATTTGAGTGATAAAAGCCTTCTGCCAAAAACCGCAGTGTTGATGCAAGCTGGAGCACAGTTGCGATTGACAGCCTATCTAACTTGTCTTCAATTACATCATCATCACTATTCCAAAGGTTCTCTATTAAGACGGTATGTACATATTTACATACAAATAATGAATCAGCAAATGTAAAAGAGGAATGCAAATTGCACTAACATCGACTCTGGCAGCTCTAATCTCTTAAAATTTTGCGCTTTATTTTGCAGGTTCCTCCAAATTCTTCTTTCATCAAAAGTCTGCGGAAGTCATTTCCTTTTTTATTAATAATCACATATACATATGACTTTGATTTTATGATGCGATATGACACCTTGTGAGCCCCCGTAATTATATATATATGGAGTAAAGTTTTCGCAGGCGTTTTAAAAATGTATATTTTATTTTATTGATAATACAAAATTTTTGCTTTGTATGTCGGGTTGTGCATCGTAATGTTTTTACCACAAATAGAGAAATTTACAACTTTATAGCGTCAGGCATACGGGTTTTTAACTATTTCTTTATTTCAATACAAAAATAAACCGCATACTTCAACGACTGAGAAAAAGCAGTATGAAATACCGTACTGTTTGGTAGCCCATGATACAAAAATTAAAGGTAATTCTATTCAAAAAATTTCCGCAGATAAATTTTGCTGAAGTTCCATTAATGGAGAATTTCCCCATTGTCTTACCAAACAGTTAAAAAAAAAAAACAAACAATACTTCAGAGCGTTGTGAGTTATAATTTTGCACCATATCATTAAAAAAATGGGAAGGAAGGAGAAAGACAGAAATAAGAAAGGAATACATGCAAGAATCGGAAGGGTTGACATTCCCTGCCGAGGGGTGACCGCAATTAGAAAATTTAACTTAATTTTTTATTTAAATTATTTTCATAACTTTTGGGTGTTGGTCGTACCGGGATTTGAGCCCGGGCCTTCCGAGTGGCAGCACGTAATGCCAGCTACTAGGCTAATTTGACTAGTCCGCCTTATTTATTATCTATTAAGGACATTTTGTGAAGAAAGTATATGTTAGAGATTTTAAGAAGCAATTCAGCCAGAAATATAGGAAGCTATCGAGAGTAATCGTTAACTGAAGTTTTTGTAGAAAAATATTGTTTTCAAATGTCTTATATTTTTTTAGGGTGTGCATTCATGTACATACATTATATTCTTATATTTTTTATTAAAATTATTTTTTTTTGTCCACAAAGGTAACAGGTCTACCAGTGGATTCTTCACTTTAGAATTGCCTAGACTTCATAAATGCAATGTTTTGGCATAAGGAAAGTGTGTATTGTTGTATGTATTGTAACAAGAAACTAGTTATGTACACAATTACATACATATGTATATGTATGCTTCTAAGAAAAAATTGTTTTTTTTTCATTTTCTATTTGGAGCTGAATTTTCATAAAATTAATCTAATCTTGTTTTTCATTTTATTTGCAAAAAAAGTCTGATATGTCATTTTTTAGGTTATGTTATAATTTTATTTAGTGGCAGACGTTAAGCAACAACAACGAATGTCAGTAAATGAAACTATTGTATCTTCAAGTTTTTGTATCATGGATTAGCTATTCATATTTACAAATACGTATGAATGTATGAATGTATGTACATTCATTTCTACGATAGAGAAAAATATTTAAATTTGACAATGCTAGCTTACTAATAAAAACCTTGTAGACACATTCTAGAAATACCTATTGTAAATATACACGTACATGTATTCACGTGAAATACACATTTCGCCATCTGACTTGGATTAACATTGAAACTGTAAATCGGTTTCCGGATCGTATTTCTTAAATGTAATCTTACTCCTACTTTTTCATAAATCACATCACATGTTATGTATTGCTCTGGTATGTTCATTGTTTTCTACTTTTAGGCGCTTGTTTTGATCTAAACTCTTTTGTCTGACATTTAATTACAAATAATACAAAACTCCGCCCTTAAATGTTAAAGACCTGATATTTCATCTAAATAATCTCAATCTGAAGGACATGACATAAAATGCAAGAATTCTTAACATTACAAATAAACAAAGTAAAAATATGGCAGCCACTTTATAATTTGCATTTCCCAAGTCCATGTTCCGCAAGAAAAAAGCTGGATGGGAATGGTGACAATACATTTCCTTGCATTCTAATTTTCCACGACCGTATCCGAAAAGTGACAACATTGAACCATCCAAAGCATACTTGAGGAAGGATACATCGAACATCCATTTGAGATAAACGGGTGAATCTTTTTGCTGCAGAAAGAAACCAGAAAATGCCAGGAAAGGGCAAATGAAGAATGGTCCAAATATAGCGCCATACTGAAAATAAAAGAAAATTATTATTAATCACGTATATTCAAATAGACTCAATTCTTACATGGACGCTCAGAGCAGAGCCTACGATAAGTCCAATGCTTTGTCCCACAAGTGCCGTGAGAAAAACGATTACAAAATACAAAACGAAGCGCATAACTTCCAATGGCTGACCAGTCAGATAGTATGTAGGAAATATAAAAAGACTTGTGCAGATAATCTGAATTGGTATATCGGCTAGAGTAATTGCAATATAATATGCGCGCAACGAATACCAACGGTTAAAGTGCTCACGCGACACAATGGGAAACTCTAGGGGAACTGTTAAAGAAAAATAAAAGGCATGACGACTTTATAGTTTAAGTTTATGAAATAAATGTGGTCCAAAAGTATGCTCCTTACATTTCGTGAGAATCGACGAGAAAGCGCAAAACATAATGAACATTATTGTGTAAAATGCATAACGGAAGATATTAATTGCATTCGCTGCGTCATTCCCAATGTCATAGTAGAGGAGTCCAATAAGCAGCGCCACGCTGAAGTGAATGCAGAAACGGAGCGTCGTGAGTGAACTGTCCCGCCATAGAATCAGAAAAGTGCGCCGCAACAGAAAGAGCAATTGGAGGTAAAATGGAGTAGCATACACATTATCACGTTTGCAAAGATGTCCGGCATCAATTGACATTTTTGGTTTTTTAGGTTTTAACATTTTGCTATCACCACTTTGTTGATACTGCTGTTCTTTGGTATTTGATTTACTTTCGGTATGGTAGTCAGAACTATCGCACACGCGGGAAGATGTTTGTTGATTGAGGATCAATGGCACTGGAGTCGTTGTTTCCACCTCACTTGTTTTAGTTGAAAATGGACGACCGGATTTCCGAAATTCCGTGTTACGGCCATTTTGCATTTTCTCTATTAATCGCCTATTATTCGGACCGTAATCGTTAGTTCCTATTTCCATAACTAACAGAATTGAAAAAAATTGCATATGAAAAATACTTTTAATAAGTTTTAAATGCATTTAAGCAGACTTACGAAAGTCGCAAGGGTTGTATGACTGTGGACAGTGTAAGCCGTTTTCGGCTAAGAATGGCACCAGGTTATCGGTTCTGCCAGCATATATACAAGAACCTTCGGCGATCGCGAATAAGTGATCGAACATTCGGAACGCAATGCCGCTGGGCTGATGTATTGTACAAATGATAGTGCGTCCTTCCGATGCAAGCGTTTTTAATAGAGAAATACACTGGTTAGATGTAGAACTATCTAATCCGCTAGAAAGTTATAAAAAATAGCATAAATAAATTTGTGTTAAACGAATCCAAATGTTAAAGTAGTTCAATTATTCTTACATTATGGATGTTCTTTTAATTAGCGCACATGTACATACCTTGTTGGCTCATCTAGAATAAGAACTGGCGGATTGTTCACTAATTCTAGAGAAATTGCCAAACGCTTCTTTTGACCACCTGACAAATCACTGGTTCTGGTGTAGATGGAATCAGATAAGCCCATTGCCTCCAGAATTGTTTGCACCTAATAATTTTGAAAAATACATATGTACGTACATACATATACAATATGTACAACGATTAAACAAATATTAGCTGTCTCATTTACCCGTTCTCGTCTCTGCATCGTATTCATCTGTGAGCCAATCTTAAGGTTTGCCGCAAAATGTATTGCTTCCTTAACAGTTAGAAAAGGTTGCAATGTCGTATCTTGAGTAATGAAGGCGACATTTGGCTTGAAAGTTTTTACGTCTCGCAAATTCCCATTAATTCTTATATCACCAGAGAAGCCGTACAGTCTGTGAATGTGTAAAAGAAGAATGTTGACCAACTTAGTTAAACTATTTATGCTTAGCATCCGTTTTTTATTACGTATATGAAGAGAGTATATTTAGTAATGTACTCTTTCCGGCGCCAGACGGTCCAACAACGGCACTGAGCTCGCCCGCACAAAATTCTCCGGTCATCCCATTAAGCACTTGCTTATGATCTGAAAGATAAACAAAAAGATATTTGAAATTGAATTGAATTGAAAAGAACAATGCATGAGGAAAGAAATATGCTGAAATCACAACGGAGCAGAGAACAAACAACATTCACATGAACATAGTTGTACGACGCCAACTGCCTACAATTTGGCATTCAAATTGAATTTATTAAATAATTGCTTTCAATTTGATTATATTTGCAACAAGATCATTATTAAAGGTCTTTCATCTCCTCCTTTTCTTGGTTTGTTCATACACAACAAAGTACCACAAATTATTTTTCCAACATTGTTTAAGGGTTGCAAAAAATCTCTGTCAACCCAAAGCTTTGCCGGCATTTCCGCCCTGTACGATCACATACTCGTACATAAATAATTATAAACATGAATACGAGTATTATTATCAATTCACACCTGCGTGTTTATTGGTAATCGTTAATGTTTTCCATTCAAGGCAGTTCATGGCAATTAATCTTACTTATTGGTCTTAGCAACGATTTTCCAAAAAAAAAAAAAGTACAAAGGCCAATGATTACATGTCTTATCAAAAATTGTATACACAAATCTCCCCGTTCTAATAGTTTCTTTCTAAAAAATAGTTTTGGTAATAAAATTTAACGTAATCTATAGGGATTATCGGTGGACAGATAAATAAGCTTTTACGATAATCAGTCATACAAATCTATGAAGCTATTAACAAAGTTACTTTATTCAAATAAACACTGCCCTAATAAAGTTTGCATTACCTTGAAGGCTTTATTTACCACAGTTAGAATTATCCGAGTTATGTTAATTATGGTGGTAATCACTTGGTGCGATGCCTATACTATAATTTGGATGCATAAGAACCTCCTAAGTGATCTCTTGAAACTTCCGGCGAGTCACTATCAATGTGCGTGATCTGGCGTTGTCCTAATGAAACATTATTCATCCTCTGTTAGCTTCCTTCAGACGGTGCAATTGCTGACAGTAAAGGCCATAGGATAGCTGCTCATAGTAGATGATTCATTGCCAATCCCACCGAAGTTTCTTTATGACCATTTTGAAGTATTTTATTCGTATTTATATCGTTTTGCATCTGTTGAAAGTAATGGGAAGAAGCAAGGACTGAATGTTGTTGTCAGAAATGGAAGTCGATGCCCAGACTATTATTGTTGATAGACGTGAAATTTCAGCAACTTGGCTTAGTTATACATAATTGATACTTTGCAACTGCTGACGCAATTTTCGGCCAAATAGGCATATAACTTATTCTGAGCCGCCTCCCAACGGCCGGGTATTTTGTGAGGAGCCTTTATTTCATAACAGAAAAACACTCGGTAAATGGTCGCAACGGGACACGGTTTGGTCTGTTTTGATTCTAAAGTCGCCATAAATAGCAGTTAGTATCAGAAGTCGTTAATAGGGATTATATATATACACATAAATGATTGGCGCTTTGTAACCGCTGAAGCGATTATCGCCGAGCTCCTCCTCCAATTTGTAGTTTTGCGTCTTGATGTTTTTCCAACAAATGGAGGGACCTACAGTTTACACTAAGCCGCCCCCGAGCGGCTGATGGGTTTTTATGAACAGCTTTTTATTTCATGTCAGAAATACAATCGGAGGCGTTGACATACCCTACCGAGGGGCGACCGCAATTAGAAAATTTAACTTAATTTTTTATTTCAGGCAAGGGAATTTGAACCAGAGCCTTCCGAATTGCAGTACGCAATGCTAACCACTCAACTACCGCGGCTGACATATACTATTAAGAAAACTAAATTATTTCTAATTCAATGAAACTGGTATGCAAAGAAATGTATTTGTCGCACTCAGAATTTCGGAATTCAAAGCCAATTTTCCATATCTCAAATGCAAATCAAAAGTTTATACTTGCCAGAAATTAAAAACCCTAAAACTTCGCAGATGAGTTCAAACTATTTGAAGGAATGGAAACACGTTCGATGCAAGCTTTGCTCTTAAATTATGGTTTTTTGGTTTTAAACGTTTGACGTCCATTTACTTGTAGAGAAAATATGATAGAAAGGCACAACGTTGCTGTATTGTACATATGTACATATGTACAAAATATGCGTAGATAATTATAATTTATAATATGAACGAGTTCAATTGGATTTATCCATTATGGTTAAGAAATAACGACCTTCAGTAAAAACTGCATGAGGTTTAGCAAAACACACCACGTAGAGATCGGCCGTCAATATTTTATACATTTGCCAAAAATAAATGTAAACCAAACTTCGAAGTTGTACGTCTACAATTATCATGTATCCATAGAAGCGTATTTATACATGTACAGGGCCTTAACTCAAATATAACCACATACATACATATCTACATATGTATGTACTACTAACAATATTTCAAAGTAACACCCAATATAAGATAAATGATATTTACACGTATGTAACCTATTGAAGAAATGCGCACTATATTTGCATATACATATGTACAGTTGTTGACAGCTAATTAGAAACGATGCTTATTTTAAATTGAATGATCTTTCTGCCTATGCGTGTTTTATCATGTTCATAATTAGTTTTTTAATTTTATTTAAATATGTGCTAAACTTAAAATCAAGTGGATCAACACCATTCCAGGAAAAACATTCCCATAGCAAGTTTGATGTTCCACTATGGGTCCAGGGTCAATGAGAATGCGAAGTCTACACGTCGTTTTCTTTGGATTTTGGTCAGAAGCGGTTTCTTGCGTGCTGCTCTTCCATAAAGTCCACATTCGACCAAACGCGGTGCACTTATTCTCTTCGATATTTGAACGGTGAATACATCCTGGATTTCACGGTGAATGTCCGAGTAAGACTTTTTTGGGACTCTTCGCAAGATCACTGCTATTCTGTGGTCTATTCCTCCTGAAGTTTTCCGGAGCCTTTTTTGCGTGCGATCTTTGCGACAGTTTCAAAACTCACGGCGCGTTGTCGTGATAAAGGATCCAGTTACGAGCGATCCAGACGGGCACACGCTGTTGACTCGTTTTCGCAATCTTTCGAGTACTTGGTGAGTAGACTTTGTTTTACGGTTTTCCCCGGTGTCAGAAATTCTATTAGGACGATTCCAAGGCTATCAAAAAAAGCAATAATCATCGTTTTCATCTTCGACTTGCTCATGCGAACTTTTTTCGGGCGGGGGGCGTAAGGAGATAATCATTGTGAGCTTTGGCGTTTGGTTTCCGGGTCGCTGAAAAAACCAGCTCTCATCGCTTGCAATAACTTGTCTCAATATAATCAGTCTCATTACTTAATTGTCACACCTCGTATGCCGATCTGCGATGGATTTTGAGACCTTAAGAAACTGACCGACAAGAGTAATACAAAACCTCAGAGAAATGATCTAGCCACTGATGCACAAACACAATATAAAAACCTAAAATTGTCTAGTAAATATGGAGTTTAGGTTGACATAAGATTTAAAAAAAATTCTCAATAACCGATTAGACAAAAAAAAACGTGGGTTTACTTCGATATTATATCGTGGGAAGTATTCTGAAAATATAGGAACGTTGTAAAAAAACTTGCTTAAAACGTAGAATTTGAAAACGAATTAGACAAACAAATGATTGCCTCGCCTCTTGTCACTATTTTCACCGAAAACCATATTTATTTAAGCTGATACTGAAAATTATTATTTCACACAAGGGTTAAATTAGGCAATTCATAGCATAAAATCATTTCAAAGATCGCCACTCGTGTTGTTGAGATAAGGTTGAGGAGGGCTTTGTACTGTTTCGACTGTAATCTATTGTTTTCGATAAAGAAAGGTAACCAACTGTCTGCGCCGATTACCGTGGGATAAGCCTCCTTAATATCCCATATGAAGTCCTATCGAGCGTTTTGTTTGAAAGACAAACCGTCAACAAACTGATTGGACCTTATCAGTGTGGCATTAGCAACACTAATCAACCATTGACCAGATATTCACCATGGACCAATTATTGGAAAAAAAAACCCATAAAAAGAGTTTCGAAACACGCCAACTTTTTGTCGATCTTAAAGAAGCCTTCGACGCCGCTCTGCCTGATTTCGGAGTTTACTGGCGTACGTCGATGATATTGACATTACTGGCCTCAACAGCCGCGCTGTAAGTTATTCTTTCTCCAGACTGGTTAAAGAAGCGAATGATATGAAGACCAAAATCTTCAAGTCGCCCATCGTTCCCGTTCTACTATATGGTGCGAAGGCATGAATGATCTTATGAGTGGGCGTTAAGAGTTTTTGAGAGAAAGGTCTTGCGCAAGATTTATGGTTCTCTACGAGATGAGAACAACTATTTCATATGCTAAAAATATATTGCAGCAAGCTCAAATATAATAAAGTTTGTCTAAGCTTTGGGGGTAGGAGCGAGAGGGTGTTTAAGAGTAGCGAAGCATATGTAAACTAATACTTTTAAAATTATTCAAATAATATCTGAACTCCTTATTAAATATTAGAGGTGGTGCGGGATGATTTTTCCTCTTAACACACATGTATTTATTGGGTGGAGCTCAGGGGTGAGCTCCGGTTGAGATTTCGGAGATGGAGCGTTGGTAGTTTATTGAGCTCTTTGGCTCTTCAAAATTTGCGGAGTGAGCGGGTGATCCAGAGATTTTGTAAGTCAAGCTTACACCACTTAGGAGCTCAATAGAAACTTAAACAAATTCCTTCGAATAAGATCATCCATTTTGGTAAATTGGTTTGCATAAACAAGTATTTAGGGAACTAACAAACTTTATTGAGTGTGAAGGTATTTCAAAAACTTCGTAGGGCGAAAATTCTCTGATCATTTCCTATCTTTTTTTCCAAATCTATTATCAAATAACAAATTTTCAATACTTATTTTTTGTTGTTCTTTGGCCTTCAGCACTGGTGCGTTTGAAGACTTCAAAACAGGAAAATGACTAAAAACATATGTCATACCTATGCAAGTACAATAACTGTAGTGAGACTACAAAGCAAGATATACCTACCCCTTGCTAAACGATTCAGTGTATTTGTGAAATACTAGCGTTGAAGCCAGGTTATATAGGGCTATCCATTTCGTGGATTCAAAAGCACTGTGCTGAATTTTGACTTTTGCCAAACTTAATAATGAAACCAAACATGTCTCGTTTTAGTTAAAAGCCAAAAATTTATGAAAATGAATCGCTTAACAAACGCAGACCCGAATGTTTCTCTTTCTCGGCGTCAATTCGCAGCGTTATGGTCATATTATAACCAAGTTGGTTGGCTGGCAATTGTATTGGGTTGCCCAAAAAGTAATTGCGGATTTTTCATATAGTCGGCGTTGATAAATTTTTTCAACGGCTTGTGACTCTTTAATTGCATTCTTTCTTCTGTCAGTTAGAAAAAAAGTGCGCGAAATTTTGTTTACATTTGTTTGTTTGGCGTCAATTTTAATATGGAGCAGAAAAAGGAGCATTTTCGTCATATTTTACTTTATTGTTTCCGTAAAGGAAAAAACGCGGAGCAGGTTGCTAAAAANATGCATTTACTTTCTTTTAAAAAATCCGCAATTACTTTTTGGGCAATAGAACAAGACTTGTACAATTTCCCGGCCACATATGATGATGGCTATGTTTCACATTTAATGCCAGGGTTCTACCTTTATAATTATAAAGACTTTCCAGAAAAAGTATATTTCTTTTATTTACGTTTCATTTGAAACCACAAAACGGATAATCCTTTAATTTTTATGATAGTATTTTTATCACATTTATCAGTATCGTAACACCTGTGTTGGGGTAACAAATTAGGCTGATTACAAATCAAAGCTATCTACATATAAACATTCGGATGTACGTACATAATTTGATAAAACGAAAATAGGGAGTTCACTTTGAACAGCATTTTTGCCTTTGAATGATGATTCATACATATGCACAACATAAGTTGGCAGAAGAATATTGACTTAATAAAAAATACTTAAAGTAGTGGGAATTCGTTTTAGGCTTCGACCGCTTAGACATCGGACCAATTTAGTTTCGGTATAAACCAGGCAAGGTCAAAAGAACAAAGGAAGTTCTCGTCAAGTAAGCACGATAATAAGCAGTTAACGCTTGACAGTTGATACCAATTAAGCAAATCGCTCTTTCAATACTCTATCACGCAAAAATCCAAAACATTTAACTAAATTGAGTTTTACAAATATGAAATAAAAAATATACAATACTTTATGTACATACATATGCATTAAGTAACTTAAGATTTGCATTCTACAAAAAGAAAGCGTACAAATATGCACAGCGGCATATTGGTTCTGATTAACAACGGTAATTTTTAATTGGAATCTGGCGTGCAGCGTCCCATTATCACTTTCAAACGGAAGTTCAAATTGAATATATGTTTGTGTTATTGTCTGAATCCAAATATTTATATAATTGTAAGTTAGCAGTTAACGAACAAAATATTATTTTTCGACCCTAAAGTTATGTGCACGGCGACTTTTACGAGTAAAATTATTTAAAAAAAATGTAAAACCTGTTTTGTGGAGGCTATTTATAAAAACTTAGTTAATTGGCCATGTTCATATCTTGAACCATCATTTAGTTTCCGTAATCCTTTGATTTAAACTGCTTGATAAAATTCTATTTGTGACCGAAAACAGGAGTTGCTTGCTACTTAAAATTGAATAGTGAATTTAAGTACAGGAGTAGTAGTAGATATCAGATCTATAAAATATTAGAACTTCGATTTTCTGTTCATATATCACAATAAGCCTCATTTTGAGAATCACCTGCACATACGGAAGTTTTCATTTCGCCGAACGAGGAAATTGTTTTGGAGATTCATCCTGATTCTTTAAAAAGCGTGTCTGTAAATGTATTTCGGTTTGCAGAAAATAATCTTATGGTGATGTAAACTTGCACACAAGATGTGTTCAAAAAGTATCGCGGGTACGTGTAATCGAATTTCGATTTTTTTGTGGCGTTATGTTGGTACTCATGTCTGTCACTTATGCCGACAAGCTCGGCCATTTTGAATGTTCGTTGCTTGTGCGCGACTTCTTGGGCAAAAGCAACACACTAATGATGCCGCAGCCACCGTATTCCCCAGATCTGGCCCCCTATGGCTTTTTCTTGTGCCCTAAACTGAAGAGGCCCATGAAAGGAGGACTTTTTCTTGTGCCCTAAACTGAAGAGGCCCATGAAAGGACGACGTTACGCTACGATTGACGAGATAAAGGCGGCATCGAAGGAGGAGCTGAACAAGATACAAAAAATGATTTTTTGAAGTGCTTCGAAAATTGGAAAAACCGTTGGCACAAGGGTACAAAATAGATATTCATGAATAAATAAATAATATTTGAAAAACACAAAATTCGCGATATTTTTTTAACACACCTCGTATATCTTAAATTTGACACTTTTTACCTTCGTTCTTGCGGAGGTCTTTATACCTTTCATGGCCTTATTAAATTTATTGCAATATAAAATACTAATATTTATTTCAATTACCGTGCGCTCTTACACGCATTTTTGACGAAGTTTGAGCAAGGCGGTATATGTTATAGTCCCCCGATTTCTATAATTTTGACCGCCAATGTGTAATTCATTACATGTGTATGGAATACCAAATTTCACGTTGATAAATATTTTTTTGATGGATTTATGACCCAAGATCCAAATATAAAAAATCGGTCATTTTATGGTAGTCCGATCGTTTCAATGTAACACTGTTGCATCTATGCGTTTGGTTGAAATACGAGTATCTCAAAATCTGAGGCACTAGTTTGCACACATACAGGCGGACAGACGGACAGACGGACGGACGGACAAACGGACTGACAGGTATGGCTAAATTAGCTAAGCTAGTCATTCTGAATCGGCCAATATATTTAGCAAAGATTCTTCGGAAAAACTCATTTTGTCGACAGCAAACAGCAGTGTTATAAACTAAGTGCAAACTATAAATAAGCCAGTTTAAAATAAGCCAGCTGAACATTCGTGTACAAGTCGGATGCAAAACTAAACGACTACTATTATAATTTATATTTTCTATGTTACCAACCTTTTTTGAAGATTCCCGTTTTCACACCATAGCAAATATTCTCAAAACTTATGTTCAGCGATTTGAATTGCTTTTCACTCCCGTGAGGTAACTTAGTTGTGGATGTCGCCGCTGAAGGCTCCCGATCAAATAAAGGGGGCTGTGCGGTTCTACACGAATCAACCACTTCCACGACCGAAAGTGCTGCATTTCCAGTTTCGGCAAACTCATAGTCAGCTGATGATGTCCTCGAAATTCGTTTAGTCATTGTTGACATGCTGTTAGAGTAATCTAGTTTTTGACTTTCGTACTCCCGCTTGGATACCTGTGTGCTGTTCGGGCTTTGCGTTTCCGTTATTTTTGCAGAAATTTCGTGCATTGGTGTCGACACAAGCGGCGCTGCGCCACAATCCATCATTTGAAGCTGTTCCCTTGCTAGTCTGGTAGTGGTTAGGCAGTCACTGTTCGTTGTTTTACTTATACTAATGCTGGTTGGGTCACTCTTATTGTCGTTGCTGTTAATTCTGTTTGGATTTTTGGCACTGTTTGTACTATATGAAACTTCAATGGCGGAAAGCAGTCCAAAGTTGATATTCGGCGCCGACATTTCAGTGTTGTATGGATGTGTGTGTATTTTATTCTAGACTTTTGGAATGATTGTTTCAGTTTTTTATGTAATTAACCGGCCATTAACTTCAACTATTTAAATTTTAATTATCACATTATATGTATGTAAACAACAAATTTGGTCTCTCAGTTCTACTGCTCAACTTCAACAGATGTACGTGTTTCCGATCTCAAGATTTTAGATTTAAAACAATCAAACAGTTACTTCAGTAATGTAATTATTATGTATGTACATAGATATATCATATGTACATGTCAAGTTATTATTGTCTTTTTAATTTACTTTTTCTTTAAAATTTGTAATTTGAGGGTTTGATAAGGATGTGAAAAATTATTTCAAACTTTAGACATTGGCGTTGTTTTTACAGAGATTCCTTACCCCCAAATACATATGTATGTACATATGTACATGCTCGCATTTGCACTATGCACAATTCTACTGAAAAAACATATGTATGTACATACGTATGTACATATATCAATTCAATACTACAAATTTCTCAACCTCATCTCAGCTCGGCCGAAAGAAAATTGTAGTCTTCGATTAGGTGTTAGTAATTTGCGCCAATTTAGATAGTTCGTCAAACGTTTTCAAGCATTTCAATGGGCCAAAATTAAAAATCTGAATTGGCAAAGCCGTTCATACATATTTACATACATATTCTATATATAAATTTTGTAGTATATACATACATTTGTATATGAGTATGTATGTATATAAAAACATATGTATGTACATATGTTTTGCGATTAGAGTGGATTTGTAAAATTTATGAAACTTAATATTTAAATAGACTCCGGTTTCATGCAAACAATATTTACCCACACAAACAAATATATTAATTTATGTCATTCTTATGTGGTTTCACGCTGATTCCCCCATTTGTTTATATTTTATGCACTTCATTTTCATTTTTGTGTTCGTTTAAGATGCATTTATTGTCTTTATTTTGATTATATGAACGTCGAACTTGACACTTTCCCTACTCGCTCTCTTTCTCTCTGTTTATCTTTAGTTCTTTCCTTCGCACTCGCGCTTATAAACCCAAATAAACAGCTGAGCCCGAGAGAGTGACTCTTTAACGTTCGCTGGCGGATGTTGTCTGAGACCGCGTTCTAGAACAGCTATGGACCCACATATCTATGTATGGATTTATGTACATATGTATGTACAAATAAAAATAAAGTAAAATGCGCTGCTCTCTGGTTGAAAACATGCCAAACAATTCAATTTGATAACCGGGAAACTATTTATTAGAAGAATGATGACAAGTGCGAAATTGATGTTTTATAAATTTCTGGCTATAAACTTGCATATTTTTGAAGTTAGCTTATCGAGAATAGAAACGTCGAATATACACGTATGTTTATTTGTATAAATTAATAGCATTAATTAAATTTATGTATGTATAAGCAAGTAATGAAGAGCTAAGTGCGAAGTGAAGTGATACATAAGTGTCTGAATCTTTCGGTTGTAGGGGAAAAAGAAGAAGAATACTGAATAAGACAAATATCCATGCATACAAACATACAAACATACGTATGGATTAATGCATGTATTTAAATTTTTTATTCGAATTTGTTGTATTTTCTTTGCTTTCTCCATTCAATTCGAATGATTTCAATTGCTAAATAGCTCGGTGAGTAAGTAGTGCTTTGATGCGGTCCAATACACCCGGCCGCCGGTCACTGGGGATTCAAATTTGCATTTCTTTTAGAAATGTTTAATTCATTGCGATTCTCACGCTCAAGACTTTTTATCCGCTTTTGAACATTTTCAAACACATGTTTGTATATGTGTGTGGGATACATGAATGTTTATTTTATTCTACTCTGCACTTGTCAAGCATATTCTAAACTTTTCGTTTAATTTACGCCGACCAACAAGTAATTGAGAAATTTATTAATTTTAATATAAATTTAAATAAGAGTAAAGTTCTTATATATATAATTAGCGCTTTGTAACTGCTTAATCGATTTTCGTCCGAGATCCTTCTCCAATTTGTGGTTTGGTTTTGAGTCTTAATTTTTTTCCAACAAATGGAGGGACCTACAGTTTATACTAAGCCGCCTCCGAATGGCATATTGGTTTCGATAGCTTGCTAATCAAACGACGATTATTATTTAAGTTGAAATAGAATCAAATCGATCGGGAAAAATATAATAATAAACTGAAATGCCTTCCTTTTATCCCTTCACCAGTTGATAGAAAGTTGAACCCCCTTTCCTTTAATCCATATTTCCCCCAATTTTTATTGTTTAAAGGATCTAACAATTAACCATAAATAGATGTCAACCACGCCTCATGCCCAACCTTTCTACAAATGAATGCATGACATACAGTGGATACTAGGATAGAGAAATGCTCTTATGAGAGAACCACTGCTATAATCGGACAAAGAATTTCCGAATTTCGGACTATCTAGGTATTTGAAAAGTAGAAAGCTGAAAACTTATGACAAAGTCATCTCTCATAAGCGGACAATTTTCTCAATTTTGAAGTTTTCGCAAGTGGCAGTAAATAGTGCTTATCATAAGAGGTAAAATTAAAGAGGGGGATGTTAGAAATATGCGAGTACCTCGGTTAAGAGGGCAAAAAGTGGTGATCATTGGCGTCCGGTTAACATAATTGATAACATTCAGATTACATTTGTACGTATTTGTAGTACATACATACATTACTAAATAAAGATTAATATGGTTTATATTATACATACTATGTACATATACGTGTATGCGCATAATACTTTCCCACAGGGTTATTTTTTTAATTTTTGATATGCAAACAATTGAATTGAAAACTTTTTACTTTTTTTTTCTTTATTTATATTTTTTGCGGCCGCATTTTATAATTCGCGCTCTTGTACTCTTACTCAATTCAGCGTACATGCTACGTTTGTACATAAATATGTGTGAAATAATATCTGTATTAGGCGGACTCTCTCGAGTGAGGCGTTTAAATCGCAATAAATGAAAAAACTGGTACATTTGTACACAAAGTGAGGTAGGTACATACATTACCATGGCTGCAAGTACTCGTATGTATGTATAAAGGCCTATAAAAGAGTTATTTTAGACTTGTTAGCTGTCATAGAATAGGCATAAAAATAAGAACTAAGAAAATTCGTGAGGCCTATGTACATATTAAGTTCTTCGGTTGTTTCTTCTGCTATTTGCGTTACCAACACATACGAACATTTTTTATCAAATATAGTACAATGTTTGCTTTTCCTTAAATAAATATTTAATTAAAAACTCGTTCATGCTTTGCAATTTGTTATTTATGTACTTCTGTAATTTTTCTTTCAAGTAACAAATTAGTTACAATTTAATCAGTAGTTCCAACTGCTCAGACGCTCACTTATGATCATAAATAAGCATGCATATGTTAAATACATATGTATGTATATGTCGAGTTATGCACTTTGTATGTAATAGGTATCATTGTCGCTTCACTATCTTCATTCCAGAATTTTTACAATTTACAAATGATTTTTGTATTTTCCTTTGTTAGCTATATGTATATGTTTTCATTGCACTTAAGATCCATTATAATCCACTGTATGAATTTTTATTTATACACACGTACATATCTACAAATGTATATACATATGTATATATTTAGGTTTGTATTTTTAAATGCGCTTGAGAAGTTACACAGATTTCGCGCGTATACTCGTACATACTTACACGTATGTACGTATTTGAGGTTGATTTTGATAAGAATATTTAAATAAACTAAACTTTGCACTCTGATTTGTTGTAATATGTATTATTAATATGTCACATTTCTTCAATTTACTTCTTTTTCTTTATGGTAAAGTACACGACAGATACCTCTGAGAATCGGTTGTCGTTAACCTGCTCAATGCGGGCCTCACCGCAACCAATTTGCCCAACACCACTGAATGAAATAATCAAATAACGAAATAACGAATTTTCTCTGACTGATTTGATCAAACGTTGAAGTCTAGTCAACTACCCTTGATTGCAGCCGAGACAGCTTTAACGAGCGCTCATATAGATATGGAACATTCACGCGCATATACCACTCTCTCATCTCTGGACTTCTTTCTGTTCTATTAGTCCGAGTTTACACGGGGATACGACGACGAAGGCGACAGCCCACCGTGTTGCTGGGCTCGTTCGACACGTTTTGTGTTTCTATAAATATCTGTGGATTTTGATATTCCATTTCATTTTTCCCCACTTTGAACGGTTTGTAGCTGTCTTAAATTTCAAACGAATAAATACCGTAAGTTTTGACATTGAAATTTGGGTTTTTACTACAATACTTATATGTATATGCATGCCTTTGCCAATATATATCTAATTATTAATATTTCAGATAAAGTTGAACCAGTTCGAGAAATTTGTGAATGTGTTGATGAAGCTGGTGAGATGATTGTGAAAAGGATAAGATATGTAAAGTTTTGTGGAGATGAATGTTTGAGAAATAGATAAATAAAAACCGTGTCTTGCTTCTCACACACATCGCGTTTTTATTTCAGATATATTGAAAAGCGCGTAACAAACAAAAAGCAAAAATTGCGTGTGTGAAATAAAGCGGAATAGAGAAAAAAATGAAGAGGAAACAAATGTCATAAAAATTGCATGAACAAAGTATATCTGTGTGAATATGAAGAGCGACACAAAATAAGAAAATTACGATAATAAGGGACAAAAGTATCTTCATGTAAACTCAGACTTATGTTTATGTATTTTTGCATGTCTTTCATTGTGTGCTTGCACTCTGAATGTATGAATGAATACTCCCAAGAGTAGCAGTTTGACTCACAACGGCAGCATTCTTTTGAAAAATCTCAACTGGAAAAGAGGATGAATTTTTAGACTGCCGCTGTAAATTTAGTTTACACAAAAGAACAAACATTTTCTTACGCCGATGGCAGAGAGAACTTTTTTGTGTGCGCGACATGCCCAACTTCACCAGCAAAGCGAAAAACGCCAATGCTATTTTTCTATTCTATTTAATAATGATTAAACTTGTTTTGAAATTTTTCATTTAAACTATTTGAAGTTTTGTGGATGTATTAAGAAAATAAATGGATATTAAAATCAACAAATGGTCAACGCGTTAGAAGTATTCATCTACATATGTATGTATGAGATTTATGAGAGCGTTGTTTCTTTTGATAAACACCTGCACCTACATACTATATATGTATGTATGTATGTACTTATTTGTTTTCTAACATTCTACTACTCATAATCAAATTGAAATTAATATATGTATGCACGAGTATGTATCTTCACTTTTATGTTTACTTCCCTCTTTGAAAAAGCTAGCTAAGTTCCTTACTGGATCCCTGCATTAGAAATGTATATCTGCCTTAATAACAAATGAAAAGAGAGAATTTTTCCAAAATATTGTTGAACTTTTACAATATATGCATGTTTGAGAGATATTCGTTGCTCGTGCAGACTTATCTTATCAGTTCCTTGATTTTACTTCATTGAGCGTTTATAAATGGTGACGAATCAAATGTGAATCCCAAACAAAACTGTCATAAATATGTAAATACAGCTAAAAATAATTGCTTAGATGTACTAAACAAGACTTTGAAAATATATGAGCAATGAACGTTGTTGAAGGTATACGCCTAAAACTATGCTAGGAAATTTATTCTTCCGACACACATGTTTGTATATACAATGTATGTATATGTGCATATGTTAACTGGATATATGGAACGTTATGACATTACTGACTGTTGGCTTTCTCCGTGTTCACTTTCGGTTTCATCGTACTTGATAAAAGAAATGCATATCCAAAATATAACCAAATGTAATGTCCTTACATATGTCCTCAAATATGTATGTATGCGGCAGCACCGATTCTTGGGATTTTACATATACTCGTGTGTATGTTCATAAATTCAGTAGATCCGGAAGTAGATTGGTGGCCGGGTTCGATTTTCTTGAAATTAGATGCATATGGAATTTTTCACCTAGTTTGGCAAGAACATAGCCTTTCTTTCTGAAAAGGGAACCAGGAACCAACTAGTTATTAAATTATATTACTTGGAGATTTTATAATTATGTTTGGGGTTATCTATTAAAATATTTCTTCCAAGCAGGTTTTTTTCGGCATCTGAAGTAAGAAAAAAATTTGCTAGATGCATTTTACTATAAATAAAATGGATAAATTTCGTTTTTTACTTATTTTCGATGTTTTGTTTTTTACTTTTTTTCGATTTTTTGTTTATCTATATGCGAAACGTACGTGGTTTGAGTACCTGATCATAGGGCCACCCATGGAACTTCGTTGATAATGAGCTGACCGGAAGGGGAACTCATAGTAGAAGAATGGACTGTTTATCTGTCATTGCTCAGCTCTCAGAGCTTTCCGTTATCGATTTCTCAGAAATTGTTTCTTCCACTACTTAGCAGGGCTTCAATTTCATCATTAATCTCTTATACTTCGAAAAATACACCAAGTCGTTTGAGCATCTTTTTTACAGTACCAACATATATATCACCACGAGAGCAAGATTCCGTAACCAAGCAACTTGTTTAAATAACCGACTAGATTTCCAAATATAAATATATTTAGCGGTTGGATTGAATTCGAGAGTGCTTGAAATTTTAGTTTAATTTGCATCTCCAAAACTGTGAGACTGATTTGTAAATCGAGTCAGCTTTATTTAAATTTTAATGAGCGAATCTTTTCGTTTTCCGTTTTACCAAAAGTGTAATACAACAATCACTTGATGAAGTCCACTCTCAGGAGACGGTTTGTTTGATAACAAGAAATGTTTCTCCTTGCCCTCGTTCACTACTTTCTAGTATGCTTTTTATTTTCGTTTAATAAGGACACCCAGCAATATTTATACCAGCAGTCCGTCTGTATGTCCTTCCGTCTGATTGGACGCAAGCTACACTGCCATGTTTGGAGATATTTAAATGAAATTTTTTTAAGCAGAGGTATTTTTATATAGTATTGATCGTTTGCTAATTTTAAATATAATACATATTTATGAATGGAAGATTTTGGGTTATAAATCCTCAAAAAAAATATGGAACAGAGCTAAATTTGATATTCAATATAATTAAAATTAGTATTTACACTGAAAATTATCGAAATCCGAAGACTATATTATTATATATCCTTCTTACAACCAATTTTTCTGATATGAAATTTGAGGTTAAGATCGTCAAAAAAGCATGTTGTACATAAAATGTGATATATTCATAAATCTATAGAGACTTCCTAGACCTTATTATTAAAAATTTATTTATTTTTATTAACAAATAATTAAGATCAATATGTAGATTACCCCACAAATATTTTATAACTGTCTGAAACCTTATATTTTCTAAACTAAAAAACCCTCGAAAAATATATTAACGGGGTTTATTTGTACTAATTCTTAGCTGCCTCTTGCGAAAAATGAACTCATTTAGTTGACAAATTTATTTTCTATAGGTATTTTTGTACAAACACCAATTAAACAAATTGCAAACGCATAAAATTCAACTATAGATTGCCTAACTTGAGTGGTCATAAAGCTTTTCTGATGGCCCAATGTATGCTAAAAAAAAAAAAATTGTAAAAAATGTTCAGCTACTCCAATTTTTGCTCTAATGCGCGTGTTGTGATCACTTTTGCCCCATTGTGGGGAGCTCAGTTCATAAAGCGTCCTTTTGAAATTATCAAATCAAAATCTCCTGAACATTAAAGAATAAGAGCAATTTGTTTAATGACAACATCAAGTTTTTCTGATTTTATTTGTAGTTAGGAATGTGCATTTGTTTGAAAATTTTTGTATGTATTTTAATGGGTTATCCATATGTATAAAGATATGTACACATACAAAATTTGATTGAATAAATGTTAAGCATTCCAGTTAAAACATAGAGTTAGATTGTAATTTTATTCGAGATTTTTCGTAAATCATCATTAAAAAAATTGGCAAGAACTAATGAATTTTACCTCTATCTATTTCCTCTATGGACAAATTTGGTACATTTTGAATATTTAATACTATTTTCCTTGTTATATGTATATAAACTATCTAAAGCAACTATGTACATATGCACTTGTATAAATTCTTATCAACTAGTTTTACAAATTACAAACAAATATATAAAATCTTTACAAAGTTTTTCTTTTCATTTGGCTTTTCTCATATGAGTTTGTTATGGAAGAAATAAAAATAATGATTAAAATGATTATAGAGTCATGAGTTCAAATAAGTAAAAGCCATAATCCCACATAAACGTATAAATATTGTGCATACATATACCACACAAACATAAGTATATATTATACATTACATAATTTGTTGTAACTTTTTTGGTTCGTATACTTAAACTATTCATGTACTTTGCGTATAGTGCATATTTGGTTAATTAGCGTTTGTTCAATTTGTGCCAGAGCGTAATCAGTGTAAGCGTATGCATAACGGCCATCACGACAACCATCAGCGTAACACAATCGGCCATATTAACATCGGAGATCATCATATAGTTGAGAAACACTTTCGGACTGCGAAAGTGGCAGTACATTGTATCATTAGGGCATGACAGGAAGGGACGCTCGAGGCCGTAAATAGCGTTGAGTGCACCGTGGAAACCCGCTCGGAAATAGCTAATGTGCCACATCCAGCGGAAGATAGGTGTTATATCTATGTATCGCGTACAAAATCCAAAGATCGAGAACAGAACTGCCAAGATCGGACCCACAAATACAGCTAACTGTAAATAAAAAAAGCCAAGTTTACTTACACATATTTGTAATGCAAACCAAACACAAATTAAACCATACCTTGGTGGGCAACGTCGCACCAACAAAGAAGCCCCATGCTTGAGCGCTCAATGAAGCTAAAACTGCCAATATGATGAAGTAGTAAATTCGAAAACTTTCGTCTGCATTGTTGCCGGTTAAGTAAACGCTGATGACTGTGTACAGTACTGTACAAATGCTCTGCAAATGTTAAATGTGCATTGTATGTAAATATGAATGCTAATTAAGTTCTTATTTATACGCAAATAACGATGAAGTAAGAAGTAAGGGAGAATGAGTGCGGGTCGGTTCGAACATAAAATACCCATCTGTTTTTTATATATGAAATCAGCCAGTCGAGATTCATTAATATAGTTAATTCAATAGATAAAAAGATTCAATTATAACGGTATTGAATTTACTTATAAGTAATTTTGACATATACGTAAGTCTGGGGAAACCAAAGCAAAATCAAATGTCGTGCAACGCGATAATTGCAACTTTTGGGAAATTACGAATGATTTTTACATTAAAATGAAGGAAAATATGTTTGTTTGTGCGAAATGTTTTTTTCATGCTTCGCTTTCGCTAATATAATAATGAGCCCAACGAATAACACTACCGAATACCAAATCCACCCATCCAACCGACACGAATATGCCGAGTCATGATTGGGAAGGGCTTGTTAGGCGTCGGGACTTAAAGCTGTTCAGCTACAGAATAAATAATTAATCTTCAGCTGAAGTTTAACATTTGTGGGTTTTTAAAATTAAATGCTAATACGTGTAAGAGCGACCGAGTGATCGAAGGTGCTGGAATGGAAATTAAAATTGTGACCCAATCGGCGAAAGGCTTCGTTCAATTCATAATTACACAAGTAGGGGCATAGTTTACCACAGCTAAGAGTCATTAACTACAAAGTGATCAGTTAAGAAGTTTCATTACGAACAAGGCGCCTAACATTTCTCCACGACTTGCGATAGTAGGCAGATTTAGAAGCTTTTTTAGCTTTTTTTATTTTTAGACAGCTTTTTTTGTTGTCTAGGCCTATTTTCCACAATTGGGTTCAAATATTTATGATTCAATAAACAAATTAATAAAACCTATTGATTTTTTTGCGTACCGTCTTCCATTGCGATGTGAATGATTTTCTTTTTACTTTATCAACTGAAAAATGTAATTTGACAAGGACGAAAAATGCAGTGTTGCCAAATTTTTTTCAAATATTGTAACCAGTTCGCCAGAATACCAAATTCAATTTCGGGCGTTAAAGAAAGTAACAAAATTTACTTTACCAGTAACAGTGGGAATAGAACTGCAAGTGTCTTTAAATGTTACCCATTTGTTCTGTTGTAGAGGTACGAGGAAAGCCAACGAAGAAATCTTGGTTGAATGCCCAGAAATTTACTGATGTCGGTGAAGACCGAGCATATAATTGGATTTGGTCCAATAGCATATAAATCTAATATTCGTTATTAAGGCAATCAAAAGAAGTCTGTTATTTTAACATAAAGGTGTGGAGCTTCCCGGTGTCGGCTTATTTACGAGGTTTGATCAGGAAATAACCGTTATTTTCGATTTTTTCTAAAAAATATTTGTTTATTCATCAATAACTGTCTATTCCCCTTCACAGTATGCCAGCGTTTTTTCGAATCCTCGAAACACTTCTGAAACGGTTTTTTTTTATCGCCAATTTCTCCCGTCTCGATTTTTCTTTTATCTCCTCAAACGTAGCAAAACGCTTTCCTTTCAGAGGAAAAAGTCAGCTGGGACCAAGTCCGGTGAATACGGTGGTTGGGGCATGATAACGGTTTTGTATAACTTCTTGATGGTGATTCGACGATTATCCAAAATTATTTTCTTCACTGCTTCAATGTTTTCATCGGTTGTTGCCGTGCTCGAGCGACCAGGACCAGCATTGTCATTGACATCTTCTCGGCCTTTTTTAAACCGGTTATACCACAATTGCACTTGTGCTCTACTCATAGTAGATTTGCCACACGCCACAGTCAACATTTCAAATTTTTTCGGATAGTAAAAAAATCGAAGAGTACACCAAAACACGACTAACCTTTGTATCTATCTTTGTATCGATTGGGTGCTCGAACACACCGGACTGGACTGCGAATGGCTATATTGACAGAGAAATTTCCCGGGTGAAAGAGCGTGTTTATGCGGATAAACATTTGAGCTTTTGAAAACCAACATTCTTTAAGTTATGGCTGAGATATATAGAACAAATCGAAGTTTGCAAAAATTCGCGAGGCAGTCTTTTGAATGGCGAATTGTTTCACATATTATATATTGACAAGACTCAAAACTTAAAAAAAAAAAGAATAACCCGAAGAAGGTATTTTCAATGCATTGTGCATATGTATATATATTTGTACCGAGTTGAGCGCCCAATTACCAACAAGATCTAATATACATATGTACAGATATACATACACATACCTACATTTTTGAATGGATTTTACTACAGCAGTAGTGCCTCAATACCCGTGAGGATAAAGCGTACATATAGCACAACTGCGATGTACTAGAAGTTCCGGAGCACTAGTACCCATCGCTGATTTGCGTGGGATGGGCATGATCTTGGTTCAGATGCGCCACCACCAGTTTCTGCTCAAGTTGCATACATACACGTGTATATATGTATAGATATGTACCTATGTAAATGAGGAAAGTTATTTTGTGCCACTACGGACAGCTCTAACTCTGTAGGGAGTGCAGATGGGTACAAGAATTCTTATAGTAAATGTTTATACACGAGCATGTGGCTAAAACACTTAACGCCAATTGCCAACCACAAATTATTATATTACACAATGCAAATTGTATATACATACACACAAATATTTACAGATTGATGGCATTATATTTTACAGCCAGAGACAATAAATTTAAAATGTTATTACAACCGTTACTTTTTCATACGTAGGATTTGTGGTTATAAAATTAATAAGTTTAAGTAATGATTTGAGCTGACAATAAAGTGCATGTGCATGCCTACATACATATTTGCACAAAGCAATTAAGACGCAAAAGTGAGAATTAAAAAAAAAAATATTTTCTAAAATTACACGAAGTAATTGCGTTTCTATTGGGTGTATGCATTAATTCGTGCGGTTTTTTTTTCGAAAATTAGGAATTTATTGTGAAAAAATTATTTTAATCGTCTGGAAACGATTGCTTGATCAACTGCTTATACTTTTGCAAGTTCTTCTTGCATCTGGCATGCATTTGCGTCCAGCAATGTTTCTCATTCTTCGTCTTGAAATTTTTTTGGCTGTCCGGGTCGTTCTCCGTCGTCTAAGTCGAAATGGCGACTTTTAAACGGTGTAAATCACTTTTGGTACGTTCGTTCGGCTAAAGCATGGCCACCATTAACGTCCAGTAAAATACGATGGCTTTCGGTATCACTTTTCTTCATGTTAAAGTAATGAAGAAGAACTCCCCGCAAACACACTTCATCTGGTACAAATTTCGACATTTTCAAATGAATGAAACAAATTGTGGTTCACGCTAAAACAATTGGCATCTACTGAAAACGACGCGAAATGACAGTGCCTTTGAAATGAATATAGCCACAGACGAACACGACACGAAATAATACTAGTAGAGGTCTCTCTTAGAAAACCGCACGAGTTATTACATACACCCAATATTTATTTTGAAAATCAAATTATTTATTAGCACAAGAGATGCTGACGGGGCTCACGTGCATATTTATGTAAATGTATAAATACAGATCTACACATAGGAAAATATGTATGTTTGTAGATCAATAGGGTAGAGTTTGTTGACACGAAAGTTGAATATCATAATAAATAAAAAAAAAGAAAAAGAAAAATATGTTAACTTGCATATGCCACATATGTATGTATGTATGTATGTATACATATTTAAGTATGTACATACATTAGTATGTTTGAGTGTATATGTGCATGAACGAAGCTTAAAGGCTATTGCCGGTACTTGGAGGAAAAGTAAATAATTCAGAAATACCTATGCAATTTAATAATTTTTACATATTATATTGTACATACATGTACACCGCGGTAGCCGAGTGGTTAGCATTGTGTACTGCCATTCGGAAGGGTCTGGTTCAAATCTCCGTGCGACCAACATCCAAATTTTAAAGAAAGCAATTTAAATAAAAAATTAAGCTAAATTTTTTAATTGCGGTCGCCCCTCGGCGGGGAATGTCAACCCCTCCGAGTGAATTTTTGATAGGAAATAAAGGCTCCTCGTAAAAAAACCATCAGCCGTTCGGAGGCCGTTAATTATAAACTGTAGGTCCCTCCATTTTTTGGAAACACATCAAGACGCAAAACCGCGAATCGGAGGAGGAGGAGGAGCTCGGCGAAATATCGCGTCAGTGGTTACAAAACGAATACTATATTTTAACTTGACTAATTGCTGTTGCTATGTCATCGATAATAGCTTCGGCTGGTATAAGTAATTTATGGTGTTTTCGTTTTTCGAAATTAATGCACATTTATTGTCTCTATTGCAAGGTTGTTTTGATTTCAGCTTTTCTCTGGAGTAATTAGGAAGGTTACCTGAATTGGAGAGACTTGGGCAAAATTTACCAAAATTCGATTTTTATCTTTGTTGGCTATCGAACATCGAATATCGAATCTCGAAGTTCTAGTTCCAGATCGTTGTCGAAATTTTCGCTTGTATCGACTTATGGGAAAATTATTAAATTTCTAAGCTTTTTGTGATTATTTTCCACATTTTTGGGGAACAAATTAATTCGCTCAGTTTTCAAAAGGTGGCTCACCTCATTCCGACACAGGCGAACATCGAATGAAACTCATAACAGTGGCCTTGTTTACAATCAATTTGCAACATTGAATTATGTAAACGTACCATTCTTTGTGTTAGGGATTATTTCGAGGACGATTTCGTCATAGTAGCACGAAATTTTCATCGAGTAACAAAAACACTATTAATTACAAACTCAATTACATGTAGAAAAATTACTCACCTGAAATGGTATTTCAAAGGACAACAAAGACAGGAAGTAAGGAGTTAGGCCGTACCACCGATTAAAGTGCTCTCTGGTCAGCATTCCAATCTCTAAGGGAACTGTAAGAAATATAAAACACAGGAAGAATATGTTATGCAATAAAGTAAACATGCAAAAAAATTTGTCATTTATCAACTTAATTTATTTTTTTTTTGAGCCACAATTTAGAATTATTAAATTTTCACGGTATGCACAAAAATTAATAAAGACACGTAAGGTTTCTGAGGTAAACGGGTTTTCCACCCTTCTAACCTAAAAACTTTTGCAATTAAATAAATTTTAAATATGTACATACATACATACATACATACATACATACTCATGCATGGATTGAAATAAAAAACTCAAAATGTGACAAACCAAAGAGCTGGAATTTTATATATTTCTTTTGAAATTGTCATCTGTATTAACGAAGTTGTTCCACGAATATTATTTAATTACCGATGTAAATCACCGATACGAATAAAAGTGTCTGAGCAAAACGCTTTATGCATATTTATAATTACACATAATTTATTTTCATTATAAAAACAAGATAAAATCATACACATGTCTTGACTCATTCAATTTTTCATTTGCTGATGAAATGTGAAAAGGTCCTAATTTCATGTTTTATATGACCGGTATTAGGTATCCACCGTCAACCCCAACAACAGTAGTAAGCAGTGGCACGAATCAATTTGATTTCTGCTTCCGACTATCCGTCCAGGCCCATGCTCATCCCTGCACAAATTTTTCGACTATATGATCCATTGGAGTAACCCCATAGGTGCCCAGGCTAACAGCCATTGGGTCAACTCGAATTTTGCTACTATCTTGTGCTTTAACGATCGCAATTACTAAACGAAGTTGCATATGGGCAATAAGACACGGGCCATAATAAACAGAACATATGTGTATTCCATGGATTACTCTTATGTTATGCACAAACGAAGTTTATGGTCCAGCCCTAGGCCATCGCAATATTAATTGGACCATATTTTTGCATGGATCGTGGTTAGTATTGGATTACTTCATTGTCCGCGTGGAGCATATATTTCACGCGTTTACGGAGTAGTTGCATTGTTATCCTGAATAATTGCGAATTTTACGATGTTTGAGAAGTAGCTAATTATAATTATCCTGTTCATAGAATTGCGCATCAGAGATTAATCGCTTTTTCGCCTCGAAGTCGCTCGTGGTTTATCAGTATATATAGACCAAGGCTGCATCGTAACGATAAATTTCAAGTTAATCAAAAAATTTAAGTCGGTCTGGTTGTTATCGTTAAAGCAGTTACCAAAATATATTTTCTTTTCTTTTTACCCGTTTAGTTCAGCGTCACTCTGTCAAGTGCTCAAGAGTTGAGCGTTTATCCACATAAACACGATCTTTCCCTTAGTCCTACAAATAATGTCCAACGGTGTGAAATCGCACGATCTCTGTGGGCAGGAGATCCACCAAAAGACGCTACATCGGTTACAAAGCGACAATTAAAAAAAGTTTTTCTCTTCTGAGCATTGACCTTACGATATCTGAACCAATACAGTCTTTTAAAATTTCTTTAGAAAAGGGACCCATTTTCGTAAATGCCTGAATTTAACTAAAACAAAACATGTTTAGTTTGGTAGTTAAGCTTAACAGATGTTCAAATACATACCAGCACATTTGAACCCACGAACCCACTATACATAACATACGTGTACGTGTGCTATGACCGAGGGATAAGTAGTGCCCGCTTACCCTCAGATAGTTCTGGGTTCAACTTCAAAAAGATATGTAAGTTACTTCATAAATTGTAAAGAAGTTCGCGGTAATCATTAAAAACAAGTTATATGTACATACACGTATTTACGAGGGGATTAGCATAAGTTCGGTCAGTTGGCGACTTTCAATTTATTTTTGTTAAATCTAAAAATACCAAATCCTTTGCAAAACGCAAGATAGCTGAGGATAGGTCAGACGAATTTCTACCACCAACGCAAAACAGAAATTCACCACGTGATTCTCTTCGGGTTCCGGCGTAATTTACAGCCGAAAACAAATATTCAGTTAATGCCAAATTGCATATGGAACGATTGCACCGTCTTTAAAGACTAGTTCTAAGTGGTTCCGAAGATACCAGACGGAACATTTTTCCGTAGAGTGATCTCTGGGTTCGAAGAAATACGTCCAGTACCATATTCCCCGAAAACAGCACCATGGCCTATATTAATAAAGAGTAGATTATTAATGCGGTTAATGCTGAACCTGATAAGCTTAAATAGCAAGATTTTTAAGAATGCATTGAAATCAAGGGCAATTATGTAGACTGCGAGTAAATACACGCAGAATTTTTTTTGGTCAACTTACCGAACTTTTTTTCATGCCCTCGTATGTATGTATATACCGTATATTTGAAATACATATGTATATATGTACAAAATTACTTACAACTGCTACTAGTTGGAATACTTGAATAAATTCGAAAAATACATGTGTATGTAGATATCTATGTGCAAATGCTAAGTACTTACATGTTAATACCACGGCCATTTTTCCTGTGTAGACCAACAACAATATCGAACCATACAAATAGACATAGTTGCCGAGCACAGTAGTGGCTTTATCGCCGACATTCATATACAAGTAGCCAAATATCAAGCCAATTACAATGTGTGACATTAGACGAGCCAACAGCAGAAACTGAAAAAAGAGTTAAGCAAAAAGATTTGGTTAGCATTTTTTTCCACTCATTTGCCGCAGATACTTGATTGTAGACGACGTCTATTATAAAGTTGTTTGCAAATAAGAAAAATACACATACACACACACACTATGGTAATAACAGCCAGCGTTAATAACGTAGTTAATATGAAAATGGTCAAACACGAAAAGGCTAAAAATTGGCCGCGCCAACCATCAGCCACTCAGGCGAAAGTGTGTTAAGGTTATTGCAATGGAGTTGCATGCAACTGACTTGGATGGATTGTGGATAACAAGATTTGCACACATCTACTATGTTGCTCATATACTAAACGAAAGACAATAACAACCGAGAGTAAGGCACCGCAAAGCTCAGCTGGATCCGCAAGTTCGATAACCAGTTGTTACATGCTTGCATTAATTGCATCTGCTAAAGCTCTGGTTGTTGCTATTGCAACCGGACGGGAGATTTAAAATTTTTTAAATAAAATGTGGATGGCACCGTCCGCTTTCCCAAAACTTTCTTAGTGGATCTCCCAGCAAGTTCTGGATTTCTAGCTCACTCATTACTGAAAACAGACATGAACAAAACTCTAGTTTAAACTACACGGAGGAAATGTTGCAGGATTGCGCCTTAATAATGAAGCCACTGCTTGTATGGTGGTTGAATTTAAGCAAAACATTTGTGAAAACATAAAATGACTGATATTGAAAATGTACGATTGTTGGAAGTAATTTCTTTTATTTTGCAATGTACTGTCTATAAAGAAGTGTTATTTATGTATGAAATAACGGTAATGTAAAGAAATTAATTTAAATACTCGTTTAAAATTCTTTAGTCGGAAAAGGAAAGAGTGGAATCACATATACATTTTTGCAAGTAAAACGTGTCGAATGTATGTACATATGTATGTATTTATATGTACACTTAAATGCATACAAAGACTTTGAATTAGCCATTTGGCTTATTGCAGATTTTAATAACTTTTTTGCTTTCTTTCATGTTCCAGCTTCAATTTTTCCATCAAATAAAGATATACATATAGATATACATACATACACACATATGTATGTACAACGAAACTATTGAAAATAATTGCGACTAAAAATAATAAAAAACTTACGTAATTACGCCTTGCACATATAAAAATACGGTTAAGTAGCAGAAAATATTGCATTATAAATGAGGCCTGCTCTGTGCGCACGGCCTTATAGGCCGTATAACGGTCATTGCTTTTCGTACGCGCTGCTGAGCCAACCTCGTTGTCACTATCATCCATCATGGCATTTGTAGCTGCTCTGGCATTGAGCGTTTTCATTTCCTCTAAAGACACGTCGTCCGCGGCGGGCTTAACATAGTCGAAGGCTGTGAGTTTCGATATGGCGGCGGGGAAACGTTTTAGATTGCTGGCGATTTTACTGCATGCCTCATTATCTATATAAACAAGTATATTGCACAATTTATAAATATTTATTCAGGTAGAAAATGGAATATTAGACTTCGTCATGGAAACAGAAATACATACATATGTACATATGTACTCGTACATGTAACGACATGAATAGAAATATGAATAATGGAATAAATGTCTTACCTTTAATTTTGGATAGCAGACATTGTACGTTTATTTGTTGATTGTCGGTATCTTCGTGGTACTTTTTATTTGCCGCATTTACGAGTTTCACTAAATCACGGTCGTGTTCCCCGACTGCAATCTCCAGCACTATGAGAGACGAGGAGTAGTTTTCAAAATGTTAATTCGTGTTAAAAAATGTCAGTGCGCCCTATAGTGGACACAGTCTAGAAATATTATCAGCAGATATGAATGCTATAAAATTTCGTGCATTTGAACTGAATTTGCGAATTTCGAGGTGGCAATACTGCCTTATTTGATACTATTCGAGTATTCTAATTGATATTCAAAGAAAAATGGCATTTTTTGAGATGAATGATCCGATGTTTATTTCAATGACAAGGAAGATATTGCATTAATAATAAAAAAAAAACAATCAGCGGTAAAAAATGAAGTCAGCTGGTCTGTCTTCCCTATTACTGATTATGTTATTATATACGAGTATATGCATATTTTTGTATGAAGTAAAAATATTGAGCTTTGTTTATGATAATGATTAGTAATAGTAGAATATTGAAAATCGGTTATGTACGCAAAAAGCCAAAGAACATAAATAACTCCATAGTTTTGACTTCGTTAATGACTTACAGAAATCGGCAGGATTGTGATAGCTCGGACACACCAAATCCTGTCCCTCCAAGAAAGGTATCAGTTCTCGCACTGGTCCCTGGTAAATGCAATTGCCATCGACGACAGTATAGAGTTTATCGAACATTTCAAATATTAGTGCGCTCGGCTGATGGATGGTACAAACAATGGTGTGTCCCAGGGAGGCCAACTTCTTAAGTAGCGAAACACATTGACTACACGATGAGCTATCTAAGCCACTGAAAACACAATAAACACAAGAATTAGACCTTAGACTCAATGACAATAATGACAATATCTACATATGTATGTGTATGTATGTACTCGTTTGTATACAAGCACATACATACATAAATATATTAATAACTTATTTAATAATTGTTAAAATCTGAAGTAAACTTTAATTAAGTAATTCTGTAATATATAAATATGTACGAGTATGTATGTATACATTCCTTAAATGTTTTATTTTTACTTTGTATATGTTTGTATACACATATACACATTCATACGAACATATACTGTATTATAATGTATGTATATAAGTGTATATATAAAAATAAGAAATCAGCACTTTGAGAAATCGCACGGTGACAATGTGATTGGTGCTCTTAATTAAAGCGAATTACACGTGGCAAATGTAAATTATTCACTTGGCCGAAGTAGTTATAACCATTTAGTTGTCCGATTAAGCGATAGACGCGTATATTTCTACGTGAAAATAAATATATTAAAAATATTTATCTTTTAAAATGTTTTAGCTGCATACATGTGTACATATGTACGTACATACGTCTGTATGCACTCATATTAATATGTATTTTTATGTACGTATATACATATATACATACATATGCACCTGTTTTAAAGTCGTTTTGCATTGATTGGTCTTTGGAATGACGCAGATTTTCCTACCAACAAGCGACACAAGTGGCGCCTGTACTTAAGTCGGCGATTGAATTTGAAAAACATCTACTTAATAGGTTTTTAACTTTTCCATTTGTGCAATTTTAAAATGTTTCATATTTATAATCAGCGCTTTTATTGCACACATATTTTAGCATTTCATACATATTTACGTTTATATACACGTATGTATGTACTTGAGAGCTTATAAATAATAAAATAAATAAACAAAATCGTCTGACTTTTGCCTGGACTAAGTGAACCCTTTCAGTGCGCAATGGGAAAAATGCAGTACTTGCATATGGATGTTTTTTTTTAATTCATTAAATGCTAATCAAAATGCAACCAAGCAAATAGACATTGTAATGCATCGATAATACGTGCATACATATTATACATACATACTTATATGTATACCTGCCTACTTTGCAACTTTGGAACAATACTTTCCGCCCGTTAAAACTTCGCAGAAATGTCACATATGCACATTGGTAATATAAATATAATATAAAAGTGTATTACACACATGTATGTATGTATGTACGCATGTAATGCCGCAATAGCCGAATGGTTAACATTGCCTACCAACATTCGGAAGGCCAGCGTTCGAGTCTTGATCCGACCAACATCCAAAATTATAGGAAATTAATATCTCTAATAGCGACCGCCTATCGGCAGATGGTTTCAAGCCCTTCGCCTGTTTTTCTGATATGAAAGAAAAGCTTTTCATAAAAATCCAACGGCAGTTCGGAGGCGGTGTAGTATAAACTATGGGAAAAACATCAAGACGCATACCACAAATTGAAGAATTAGTTTGGCCGAAAATCGCTTCAGCGATTACAAAGCGCCACACACATACATATGTACTTATAGACATATTTTCTCCACTAACTAACCGATATTTTTGAGTTAAATTTGCATAAATTAATTCGACTCACATTTCCGAACTGAACTTTGGCATCACCTGTAAGCATTTGCATAAAATGATATCTCGATGAAAAAGAACTTACTATGAATAAATCATTTACATATGTATTTCAAATAATCAATAGATTTCATAAACAATGTGAATCATTGAAGAACCAGTACATCTCTCTTTTGAGTAGAATCGTATTTAAATCGTTGATCATATTGTACATACATATATATACTCGTATATGACGCATTAAAAGGCCGCCCCCTAAATGGAATTCGCTTTTGATAAGGCAGTTTCTCTGGCTAAACGTGATAAAGTTCTTAATAAATGTACAATATATGCACAATTTAACGGACGATGAATAATTAAAAGCGCACACTATTTACTCGTATCTACATATATATTCGTTTCTCGTATTGTATTTATCGTATCATATTGTAATAACATGTGTGCTGTTAATAGGAACTTTGAACTTACCATGGTATTTAATGCAATATATTAACACAAAATAGATATGTAGGAGTGCCGGCCGAGGGGTTTTAGCACTGGGTGCGCACATTTCGATGCATTGCCGTAAGACCGTAAAAAACCTTAAAAAAAAAGATCTTCGATTCGATACCTATTCAAAAAATGGATCAAAGAACCTGTATCAAATTTTGTGTGAAATACGAAATTAAGTGCGCGGATGCATTCCGAACACTGACTTTGGCATACGGAGAAGCTACCTTGGACCGAAGCAACGTTTATCGGTGGTACACAATGTTCTCAGAACGACGAAGAGCGTGCCGGACGCCCGAGCACTTTAACAACAGACGAAAAAATTAATTGCAGGGGCGTGGTGCATCATGAGCTCTTGCCACAGGGTAGAACGGTCAATAAGGAATATTACCTGCAAGTTTGCCCAGTTTGCGTGAAGCAATCCGCCAGAAACGTCCGGATTTGTGGAAGAACAAAAATTGGCTTTTGCACCACGATAACGCCCCTGCTCACACATCGTTGCTTGTGAGCGACTTTTTGGCCAAAAACAACACACTAATGATGCCGCAGCCACCGTATTCCCCAGGTCTGGCCCCCTGTGACTTTTTCTTGTGCCCTAAACTGAAGAGGCCCATGAAAGGACGACATTACGCTACGATTGACGAGATAAAGGCCGCATCGGAGGAGGAGCCGAACAAGATAAAAAAAATGATTTTTTGAAGTGCTCCGAAGATTGGAAAAACCGTTGGAACAAGTGTATAATATCTCAGGGGATTACTTTGAAGGGTACAAAATAAATATTCATGAATAAATAAATAATTTTTGAAAAAACACAAAATACGCGATATTTTTTGAACACACCTTATATTATTTGAAATGAACGATATATTTGTAAAATAAGTAATTATTTAATATATTAATATATCGTACGATTTTACAAATATCTAGTAACAGTTAATATCGAAACTAATTATTTCATACCAAGACATACAGACCGGAGCGGAGCAATTACATACATTGAAAATTACTTCAGAACACAAATTTCCAGCAGGGAAGAATGAAAAGGTAATTACCACACTCCGGGTGACAATCTGAAAGTAAACTCGGGTGGATCGAGGCTAAAGGGAAGTGTCGACGAAATTATCTTCTCAGGGAACCCTCCTATGGAACTGTCTATCAGGCTCTCATGGAGATACTGCTATCATGAAAGCAGCAAAGCAAATCAGAGCAAGTTTTAAAGATAACAATCAGGCAGCAATAAAAGCACTGGGCTCACTTGCAATAAATTCCAAACTATTGCTGGCCTCTAAATTCTAAATAGTTGGAGATGACCAAACAAAACAGACTGTCTCTCACGTAGGTCATGAGACATATACTCTTTAAAAAGAGGGGATATGCTCAAAGTAATAGGAGTTATGCCAGTCTACTATTTGATGGGACGACATGCAGAGCGACTAGAGAAGAGACTACAGAAGCTGTATGGATGGTGAAGAAGGCAAAAAATCAGTGCTTAGCTGCAGAATTTTGGGACCTTACTTCTGCATGATCTATCAATGATCACCGTCATCAAAGTCATGCATCTAATGAAGCTAATTAATGAAACGAAATGGCTGGATAACGAAGCTTAATGGTCAATGACTCTATCGGGCCTCAGAGTAATACGATCTGTAGCCATCTAAAACCTAACCTAATAAATCATTTGTTAAGTACAATATATTAGTTCATGTTAAATAAATGTGTCATCTGAAGAAAGCCTCGTCACCTAGTGCTCACCTTCTTCTCCGCTTAAGTGTTTATAGCGTAATATTTCCTAAGCTGTATAATAAATGTTTCGGCTATTCGAACCTTCTCAGTACTTCTAACGATTTCCACAGAAAGGCTAACATAATTAATAATAATAATAATTAATTTTAAATAGATCTCACAGTGCATGTGGTAAGGACAGACAACGAATAAGATACCGCAAAAACTACTATGGTAATTATAGTTGTGGGCTTGATCTGTGATTTGATTTCTGGAAAATCGATTTTGAGAAAAAATGTAGTTTTGCACATTTTTATTTAGTTATTTATTTACTGCTTATACATATATGTATGTATTAACATATGCTGCTGCTCTCCATATAATAAAACATAAGCAATATAATGTGCGCTTTTTTTATTTTAGATTGAGTATAAGAGAACTGAGCTGTAACCATGGTGAAATCGCTCATTGTTTAAAGTCAGCTCATGGTTACCCTAACGAATATTTTGGAGCAACTGTAAATGCGTTAAATTTATATAAAAATGTATGTGTAATATGTTCATATATTTACATATGAATATTCCATGTATAAGAAATAAATTTGTGCCTACATAAGTACGTAAACATTTTTACAAATATTTACATGTGTGCACTTCTGATTAGAAATACTTACATAGTACATGCATACGTACACCTTAAAGTGAATTTACTGATTAGGGCTGACATTGGCGTGCAACTTCCGTTATTTTTTGCAAAAGTTGTGACTAAACAGTTACGAGATTATAAAATAAAACCTTCAGTCGAATCTTTGATTTCATAATATTTGTATTTGATAATTTCATATATGTTTGAATGTATGAATGGATGTATGTACATACGAGTATATATGCACATAATTGAATTTCACTCAGTCAACCATTTTATTAGTAAATACGGTATTTGGAATAAAATAATAGGAAAACGACGATGACATTCAAAACGCAGCATCTCATTGCATGTACGTATTCATATATTCATAAACGGAACCAGTTGTGGGTCAAGGGGAATACTCATTCCTTCCCAAAACCTACTTCTGTAATCTTTTGCTACTTTTTCAAAACCTAATCCTATCATCACCAATTTTTCACGTTAACTTTGAGTTTTTTTTTTTGTAATTGCTTATTTATTTGGTTTAGGGTTTCCAAATGGAAATCTCATATAAAAAAATTGTTTAAACATTTTTGATATTTTGTATTTACGTGAACCTAATTGCACTTCCTGAGAGGTTTAATTGTGAGATTTTACAAGTGGCATCACACGTGGAAAATTATCCGCGAATTTTTAAAAAGAAAAAATATGCATGAAAGACATTTAAGCGTTTCTTTTGCCTCGGCTGCTACCTCTGCAGGACTTTTATTATTTATCGGGGCTTCTATAGTCAAAATTGTACTAAAAGCTTTCGTTGCTTGATCTAACTTATAGGTCCCATAGAAAGAAGTATTATTTCTTTAAATCAAATAAAAATTTCCGTTATCGAAGGCATTCCCGTTAAATGTAAAGCTTTTAAATTAGACAAGACATTTTAAAATTCTTCAAAACACGATAAATCACTACTTTTTTACTAGATGCAATTAAAAACGATTTGAATTTATATTTAATAGAATTTCAAGGGATAGCAACAGCTTTGGTACACACACTTTCTTAAGAGCCGACTCCGAGCGCAAAATCCGATTAAAATAAAGACGAGTTGGAGTCGGCACTAACTTGACTTTGAAAATCGAGTCTACGGTGCTTACTCAACCTACACTAGCCTAAGTGTGTTGATGCTTACACATCGATCGCCACTTCAACCGAACCTAACTCTAACCTTGAGGTATAAAAATATTCCCCCTGAGAACCTATTCTGGATCCGCCACTGCAATACACACATACATATGAATGTATCTATGTGTAATAAATATTAAATAAAAAGACAAGTTGATCACTTTTTCTATTACGCAATTTATAATAATACAATAATAATGTCTGTTTCGAACGCTTCTAGGTTCATGATCATTCGTAAGTTTTTTTCATATACACACACACATATATATGTAATATGTGTGTTTATATGTGTGTTCGTTATAAAGGCATACGTGCGAAGTAAAGTAAAGGAATACTCACGTTGTTGGCTCGTCCAAAAACAAAACAGGCGGATTGCTTATCAGTTCAAGCGCTATGGCCAACCGCTTCTTCTGACCGCCGGAAAGTTTTGCAGCAAACACATTGTAACGGTGTTCCAATCCAAGCAATGTCAAAATATGTTTGATCTGTAACGGGAAACAATAATAATAATAATAAATATTTTACATATATTAGATGTACACTGCAACGCTTCGCTGCCGCCCAGACTCATTGAATGTATGAAAAACTTGTACTGGGATATCTTTTTATCATGACTTTATTTACGAAATACTTGGGGAACACAACATTTTTGGTTTTACTATAAAGATTACTTCACTTCCCGGAGAGAGGAATAGCCCGAATTTTTGAATAGGCAAGTCCCCGGACCACTTCTTGGAGAGAAGCGCTACCTATGTATCGAATTTCAAGCAAATCGAACCATAAATACGATTTTTTTGAATAAATCCCTCCCAGGCTCTTTCCCCGGTGTGAAAAATATTGAGATGTTATGTTATTATCAGACCTGCTGAATAGGCATCTAAAATTCCATTAAATAAACCTTTGTTTATTTTAATATATACATACATATGCATATTTTAATAAAATTTGACTTTTTGATATAATATTTCGGTGTCTTAACATATATTTTGTAATGAAATATTTGTATGTTTTTACGCAAAACTGAAAAATTTCAATGCATCTTACCAAATTTTGTTTATATTCCTTAGAGGTATTGAATCCCAACTTCAAATGTGCGGCAAGCATCATTGTTTCGCCCACGCTCATTAGCGGCCTGAGCAGATCATCTTGATGTATGTAGCATGAAAGCTCACGAAAGCTTGGTGAATTCGTTGAAATGGGTTCACCGTTGACGCGTATTGTGCCGGTGACACCGGTAGCTCTGTAAACAAGAACAGACAGAAATGATTTCAAACTACTCATATACATAAACAATGGTAAAAATAAGTGTTACGATTCCGAGGCCCATGGGTGCGAATCCTTATTATGTACATATATGTATTTCATATTAGTTTTTACCCGCGATTTCGCCCGCATTGAACTTAAAATGGTTCTAATTGTTTTTTTTTTTTTGTTCACTTTTATGTGCTTACAAAATGTAACAAAATTTATAATAGTGTAAGAATCTTGGAATAGGTTAAGTAAACTTTAAAAAAATTAAATTAACGCAAGTTATGAATCAGTTTTGTAAACGAACCACGGCCTTTGATCTGGTGATAGATATAACATAAGAAGAATGCAGCTGTCTTTCCTTGCAAATAATATTTAATCACCAGGATACTCTGTCTACTTCTGCTATCTCGATATATTTTTTCTCCAATGGACATTCATTTTAATTGTTTAAAAAAATGGAAGATTTGCTTATTTCAAGAATTCCAGATGTTAATATTAAATATATATATTTATCTTAGGTAAAGGGCTATCTATTTTCAAATCGAACTTATCGAAACAATAGAAAAAATCGAAAGATGGAAATGGGGTTTTCGAATAGATCGGTCTCTGCTCCACTTCCCGAAAAGAAAAGAATTGCAAGAAACTACGTATTTTTCGAACTAAAGGTCCACATCCTTGAAGAAACGACGCATAGCAGCATGCCTGCTGCGGCCGTATACCTACATACATACTATGTATGTAAAACACAAAATATTATTATTAATATTATGTTTTTCATAACTAACTTAGCATCTATCCTGCAGATCCCAACTCTGTCTTCATTGTTTTGAGACAAAAAAAAAATAAGTACGATTTTTTATCGTAATTTGCTCTCATTGCTGAAGGCAACGATTTTAAACTTTAAGAAAGTAAAAAATACATTTTATATTTGTCATAAGTACATTAAACTTTAACAGATTTGAGAAAAATATTTTCTAGATATTATTTAGCAAGCTGTTAGCATTTATGCATGTATGTTCATCGCTGAGTCTCTTTTGTTATCTATTGTATTTACTACGGATTTGCAAGTACGTTCATTCCCCTGATGTTTAGAGTGTTTACATTGCACATCAAAACGCAATTTAAAGAGGGCTTTCAACCTTGATTTTGCATTGACTTTATTTATTTTATTATCTGCTTTCTTTAATAATAAAAACAATCACAATCGTTTGCAGTTCGGTAAACTTTATGGAAAATCTATAATATTTACATAAATGTATGTATTTATGAACATACATATGTGACCGGCTGCAATAGCCAAGTGGTTAGCAGTGCGTACTAACATTCGAAAAGGCAGAGTTGCAGTCCTGGTACTACCAACATCAAAAATTATGGAAAAATCTTTTTTCAGTTGCAGTCGTCTCTCGCCAGGGCATGTCAACCCCTCCGAGTGTATTTCTCATATGAAAAACAGCTCCTTATAAAAATTCATGGGCCGTTCGAAAGTCTCTGTTGGAGGAGGAGCTCGGCCGTGAAATCCCTCTAGTGGTTACAAAGCATTCAATGTATACATATATATAATCTGTGTACAATGATCGGCATATAGCTATGAATGGATGTAATTTCTTATCTGTCATAAACAACCATTTTTCGCTTTCAAGGTTATTTTTCTTTTACTTCCGATTGTGGTTTAGCGACAGTTCAATAATGTATTTTTGTTAAGCTAGGTTAGGTTTGTTGAATACCACGAACAACGTAAATAGAGTTCGAAAATAATTGCAGCAAATAATCAATATTCTATATTTCACAAATTATGTACATAGATCTTAAACTTTTTACAGTAAGACGACGGATTTAGGATTGTAAAGACGAGCAAATTATTCATAACTTGCGTTAAATTGAAATCGTTATTAAGTTCATAAAGTAAAAAGTTTGCTTGGAATTTTTATTTGTGATTTTCATTCATAGGAGGTTGCATGAAATTTTTAATATTGTTCATTATTATAAAATGAATGAAAAAAACTGTTTATATTCAATTAACTATTAATAAATTTTATTTTTATTACTATGTCAAAAGTGTAAATTATCAATTAACGAATTTGCGAAAATAGATGAAATCATTTATGCCGATGCCTTCGACAAATTCGAATCATAAATGAAGATTTACCCAATATTTCTACGAATCCATTTTAATTCCCGACCTTTCACAATTTCATAAACACAGATTTTCTGAATAAATCGATTCTTCTATGATTCGCGAAATATTCTTATTTCTATCAATTACAATTCCACTTTCCGTGGATGATTAAAGACTTACCTAAACCCTGTCATTACATTAAGCAGTGTACTCTTTCCGGAGCCTGAGGGTCCCATTATGGCGGTTAGTTCTCCAGCTCGAAATGCGCCGTTAATTCCATGTAAAATCTCCTTTGTCACTAAAACGATTCAACAAAAAACAGTTATAAGCACTTGTTTGGCTTATTTGAGTTTTTGCTTTCTGGCATACACAGTAAGTCAGCTGTATCAGAAAAATGTTTTTGTTTGTATTAAATTAAAAGTAACATATTTTTTTCCAGACACATGTTTGCTTTCTTAGAATTATTAAAAATATCGCCGCTGTACATTTGATCAATTAGTTGACATAGACACTTTTTTTTTAATTAATGTTCAACATTACCCTCTTTTGCTTTCATCACTGCCTATATTCGTTTGGGCATGGACCCGACTACCTTCCTGCAGATATCTCCGCTAATATTTTGCAAGTCATTTTGAACCTTAAGCCATAAATCGTTAAGATTCTGATGCTTATCTGGTAAATCAGAAATCGCACGCTTGACCTCAACCCAAGCATGTTCTATTGGGTTGAGGTCTGGTGATTGAGGGGCCAGTCGAGTACTTCAAAGCTGCTGTTTTGAAGCCAAGCTTTGGTACCACGAGAAATCATTATCTTGCTGGAAGATGACGTTTGACATATTCTTGCACCATGCTTACACATTCCCCAACCCCATTCAGTCTCATACATCCCCACATCATTACATTATCCTTTCCAAGCTTCAACGTCGGTTGGACAAAGTTTGATTCTAAAAATTTCACCACTATTAATTATAGAAGAATAAGAAAAACTTGAACAGCAAAGCAATATTTTGCCGACTAATAGTTCTCTACTTCACAAAGTCAACTTATTAGTCACATGAGTTCGTCTTCTTCTTCTTTTTTGGCGTTGGCACTGCTTACGCGATTATAGCCGAATTAATATTAGCGCGCCATTCCTATTTTCTTTTCGCTGTCGGGCGCCAATTGGAAATACCAAGCAAACCTTTCTCTCGAAGACTTCTAGAGCCGACATATCACATGTTGACATCGTTCAAAATACAGCGCCATACATATAGTAGGACAGGTATGATGAGCGACTTGTTGAGTTTGGTTTCCGTTCGCCGATAATGTCAATATCATCGGCATACGCCAGCGGCAGTACACTCTTATAGAAGATTGTACTTTCTCTATTCAACTCTTATTATTTTCTTTAGCAATAAGTTAAAAAAGTCACACGATAGAGTCACCTTGTCTAAAACCTCGATTGGTATAGAACGGCACGGAGAGGTCCTTTCCGATCCGGACGAAGCTTTTAGTGCTGCTTAAGGTCAGTTTACACAGCCTTATAAGTTTCGCGGAGTTACCAAATTCAGACACAGCGGCGTACAGGCAGCTCCTTTTCGTGTTGTGGAAGTTTATTTAAAATTGACCAAAAAAAACCCTTTAGTTCTTCACCACCGGCCGCTAACCTATCGGTCCCCACCGCGTTGTTGTTTTTTAAGCGGGTGATTGCCATTCGTACTTCTTCACAGTAGTTTAATGGAAGAACTTTTCCGTCGTCATCAGTTGGAGTTCTCCGGGTGTATCATTTTTACTGCCATTGAGCAGGCTGGAGGAGTGTTCCCTCGATAGATTCATTTATCCCATGTATTCTGGGCATCCATCACCAGCTCACCCCTCTGGGTCCTACTAGAGTTTGCTCCGGTCTTGAAACCTTCCATAAGTCGCCGTATCTTTTCATAAAATTTTCGAGCATTACCTTAGCATAGTTTCGTTTGCAGATGTACGTAGGGAGCTCACAATGCCGTCCTACAGTTCCATTATGCCGGGTTGCTGATGAATGCTCTCAGAGAGCAGGTGTGCAAGTCGAGTAGAAAACCAGTCTGCTGTGATTACAGCTTTTCATTGTCGAATCTTCCTTGTGTATGTTGACGGTCGTTCTTCGATACACCGAGAGTGATTCGAGTCGATGTTAGGACCTCGTAACGTGCACACATCTAAAGCACTGGGTACATGTCTTCTGTCTATCATAACATGGTCAGGTTGAAAGTTTTTCGATCTGGAGACAGCCTATTAACTTGGTAAGTTTTCTGGAGCTGGAATCTAGTGCTACAGACAACCTTATGTCGGGTCCCAGCGAAATCGATCAGCTTCATTCCATTTGAGGATGTTTGGTCGTGGAGGCAAAAATTTCCGACTGTAGTCCCGAAAATACCTTCTTTGCCTACCATAGCGTAAGTGTGCTCAGGGCGTTCGTAAAAGACATCATTGGTCAAGTGAATGCCAGTACTCGGGGGCGGAGTTTCTCTCCCACCACGAATCTGACACCAAATTTGAGCTTCTTTATACGGCCGCCGTAGTAAATTTCACAAGGACCCACCTTCTTCCGTCCTTATCCCGTCTTTATGAGGACATCAACTAGCTGGGCAGCGGCCCCTTCCCACTTAAGGGACCGAACGTTCCAGGTTTATGCCCTAAAATTGCAATCCCTACAACCGCATGAGATTCGTCTCGTCTCCAAACGGATGTTTTTTGGCTGCCCAGGGGATACGTGGTCTAAGACCGGCAGTCGTGACCTGCTTGAACCATATGCGAAATGATCGTTTCTAGCCACTCCCAGGTGAATGGCAATCAAAAACTTTTCTCAAATGCGTGAACTTCCACAAATGGCTCATGCCTTCGCCTACATTTGTAAATATTCTCTGGAAAGTAACGACATATTTCCAACTATTCCGCATTTACTAACCGACAATTCATAGGGATATTTAGTGAACTTATCTTTCTTATTTAAAAGTTTATTTTCACAAAGATAGAACAACATATGCATATATGCAAGAATACGATTCTCAAATGGTTACGTGATACGGCTAAAGTATTCATTGTTTGCAATGGAATTGCCCTTCTAACGATCCAGATCAGATATCTTATTATCTGATCATTTTGTGTCTTCCAAGCCGTGCTCAGAGCAAGCATGGCCTTGCGTAAAGACCACAACTATTTGCAACGGGACTAGTGCTCAACTTGAATACATATCACATTCTCCCCAACCCGCTTAGACAGTACTCGTATAAAAAAAATTGATAAACATAATCTAATAGAAATGTTCATAACTGAAAAGCTTCAATTGTTTAAAACTAAATAATTATTTACTTACCAAATTTACGTTCTTGGAAATTAAACTTCCGAACTGTGTATTTAACATTTTCGAATTCGATGTTGACCTGCTTGCAGTGATCGAAATTCACTTCCCAGTTTTCACAATAATTTGGTTTGCAAACTACATCACCTGTGCAACTGGGCTTCGCACAAGCAAACGATTCATCGATAGAGGTTTCAGAACTAGCAACACTGGAACAGCAATTTATGCCCGCACCACAAGCATCCGCTGGTTTCATATCCTGTATCACAGTCATTTTAGAATCGTTGTCATCAAAGATCTCGAAGAAAATTTCTGTCAATAGAAAAATCGAGAAAATATAAAAATACGTTGTTTAAAAGTTTCCATGCATGAATTATACATAAGTAGCTTAAGAGCAGGTAGGCATTTTCTTTCTGATTTTTGTGGCTATAATTTTTTCTTTTTATACCTTTCAAAAAACCTTACATCCTGTAGACAATACTTTATACAATCTTAAGGGCTTACAAGTCTGGAATCTTGTGAAATTTTTAGAAATCTGTCAACTGTTTGTCTGTCAAATATAAAATCATAATCGCTGCGGCCAAAGTTGACAAGCAAACTAGATGAAAGCAGGTGATTTCAGCTGTTTTCCAATGTATACAAAAAAAAGGCGCTTTCTAGACTCGTAAACCTCTACGATGCTTTATGCTTATAAAAGCCGATTCACACAACTGTTTTGTCTCGTCTTACCTCGGAGTTGCGTTTTGACAGATATATTCCGAGTTAATATAATATTCGTACGCGTAAGTACACTTAAAAAGTGATTGAAGCAAGGCGGAGCGAGGCGAAACAATATGTGCTGTTGAACTTTTCTACGCTTCATCAATTTTTACATGTAACACATGATATTTAAACCTTGCAGAAGAGTGGAAAAAACACTGTGGCATACCCTCCATAGTCAGAACTTCATCTGTCAAGCAGGACGAAGGAGATAAAAGTGAATCAAACTTAAGCCATAAGTCAAACTTGATGGATATGTGAACCTTCCTTAGAGATTTTTGCCCGCCAAAAATTACAAATAAAGCTCCTAAAATTAATAACATGTGATTTGAGAAGCTTTGTTCATTAACAGCCGAAAAGTTACTGCCGCTTGGCGATGTCGTTACTGACATTAGTACCGATTTAATTTTTAATAAATGAACTAGGGACATGTCGAACTACAAAGTAATAATAAAACAGCGATAGTTAAAATAGAGTAGAGAGCGATATGACGGACGATTAGTTTTCCGGCCCAAAAACAAACAGCAACGACGGTTTGCCAAGATGCGGACCGGCAATGTAGACTGCCTATACAAAATTAATGGGTACATCCCTTTCATTCTCTTATACGCGTTTTGTCGCTTAATAGAGCGCATTAGTCAAGTTAACAACCCTCCTTTAAAATTAACTAAGTCGTTTTAGGAAAGGAAAATTCGGTACCAAGTCCACTAATCGAAAAGAAAAGAATTTGAAGCAAATTAAACCTTAAATAGGATCTTTTGGAAACATGGAACAAAGTTAAAGTTAAATTTTCTGTCATAAAAATCGTCTCCCATTAAGTTCCAGCTTAAATCAACATATTGTATGATGCCATCTGATCTGTGGTCGAAACATAAACAAGATTTTTTCGAATAGATTGATCCAGGAACAAAATTAGTAATATTCGAATAGGAAAGCCCTAGTCCACTTCCCTTCCCTGTGGGAAAAATAGGTGTTGGCTTATTCTCTATTCTAATTGCGGTCGCCCCTCGACAGAGAATCTATTTATAACATGAAATAAAAGCCCCTCATAAAAAACCGTCAGCCGCTCGGAGGCGGCATAGTACAGTATAAACTGTAGGTCTCTCCATTTGTTGCAGAAAATGAAAATGTACTCTCACCTCCACAATATGCACACAATCTTTAATAAAAATCAATCCCGGAGAAGTTTTATTCCAAACACTGTGACATGAGAATTTTTCATATTATAGTTGAAAAGAACTACAGAAATCGTAATTAATTAATTAATTCACATATATGCATATGTACATAAATTCAGTTGGTGTTAAGACTCGATGTTAAAAATTATGAAATTTTATGATAAAAATTGTAAATTGGTTTAATGACCATAATTTTTGACGACATATCCCTTTTCCAGTCGGGTGGTGCGGCTGGAAGGTATTTAAAATGGCTGGTTGACCTATTATTATGTATTATCGCAACCAAATTCGGTAGATATATTATATTAACGTTAATGTGCGATAAGTACCCAACAAAACTGTTTGATTTGAGTCCAAACTCAACCTTTTCTTCGTACAACAAAGCAGTCAGCTTTTCAATGCTCTTTCTCACTTGCACTCAGGTCTTTCTTTCTTTTACCCATTTGGTAAATACGTGAGCATGATTATTGTTCTAGTTATAGAAACGCGTGTGCGATATTTAATGCAGACGTCATCCTTAAAAGTGCATACTTTCATAAATGTAAATGGATACAGTGTGCGACAAAATTAAAGCACCAACCCCACCACAAAACATAATAAAATTTTCAACAGTTACTAAAATCGCTTTTGGCTTAAAAAAAAAACTAAAAAAAGGATAACTTCATATTAATCTGAAATTATAATTCAAAAACTGCGCCAAAACTAGAGCACATTAGTAAATAATATAATTGGAAAAAAGTTGTTGTCTCTAAAATTTCGTGCCGCGAGATCCTTTTGTATCCATCTGACCGAAGTAAAATGATCTTTTTGAACTTCTCGGATAATTGCTTTATCTTATCGAGTAGTAGCTTTTAGGAGCCTACCACCTGTCTATATGAGGTCAAAGGGAAGAACTGAATGTTCGGGACAAAACTGTGTTGTGAATTTGAAATTATCTAACCATTTCGATAACCAATTCAACTTCGCTCAATTCATATATAATATTTTTATGTAATACCTTGTTATACAGTTTCCGTTACTGATAGTACTATGTTTAACAAATGTAACGAATTATATTTTATGCCATAAAAGTTCTTATTAATTCCATATGACCAATTTTTAAAAAGAAAAGCAAGTAATTTGATATTGTGATTGAGTTGTTTCGCATCAAGTTAATGCAAACAATTTGCTTTTAATTACTTTTTCAGTTTAATTTGAAGTTCTATTGTATTGGGTTTCTTAAAACAATAACAAAAGCGCCTCCTTGAAAATAACATAAAAAAAAACAAAATTGGTGATTGTTAAAAACTTATTTGGTATTTTGGTATCATGGTAGGTTTGTTGCTTTACTTTTGGCGCACACTGTACCTGTGCTTTTAGCTCTTATTTCTTTCATTGAGCTTAGTTATATAGACTATATGTTATTTAAGTCTTAATTTCATAGTGAAACGAAGTAATAAAGTAACCAGAAAATGCTGATATGCACCAAGAATGATTTCGAAACATATAAGCACTTACACTTAATACATACTTAAATACATATTTACATATCTGTATAACATTAAGCTGTCGATGGCTGTCAGTAGTCAAACTAATGAAGTTAACAGTATTAAGAATTAATCCACGTCAGATTATCTAATGACTCGTATAAGGCGTTATATTGTAGAAAGGTATTAATTGCGATTATTAGTTGATTTAAGCGAAACAAATGTCTGTCAGCAATAACTCAGGCAATCAACACAAAACTTAATGACTGTATTCACACTTCTCATTTTTTTAATGCAGGGAGTGAGTTTGCAATGTAACTAAAATGGGAATTGGAAAGATTTTCCGAGAACCAAATGAATGGAATCGGATTTGCACCTTGGGTATGTGGAATTGCTCTGAAATGTAGATAATACAAATGAGACTGATGTTAATACTTTGTAGAATCAAAACTAATAATACCAGCCTTAAAAATGTTAACCTTATAGTTATTTTCTACATATGTACATATGTATTCAGTATCTTATCAACAACATACATTTTATTAATAAATTTCGGTTGTGTTTATACCATACGTACAGACTTACAAACATACACATACTAAAATGACAAATCAGAAATAGGTCAATCAGTATCTGATGATAATTCGCAAAACAATAATAGGTACATACATATACACATATGCAAACATACATAAATACTACAAATAAGGTGTAGGGTAGTGCAGCTGATTTCTTAACGTATAAAAACAATCTTCTCATTTTAAAGTTCTGCTCTGTCCTGTTCTAAATGGCTGATTTATATACATAAAAAAGCTGAAAGGATTTTCGCTCGCGTTATGCTGCAACTAGTAGAAAACAGAGCGCCTCAGCTGTCTCATTTTATCTTATGACAGCGCCATGTAAATCAAAACTACCACCGCGGGGCGATGTCGTTACTCTTACTGACGTTTGCCCCGTAGAAACCAGCCTCAATTTTTCAGTAGAGCCTTTTATAAATAATTTTTTAATTAAGTAAATAAATACATTTTTGACGACATATTTCTCATCCAGGTTGGGATATTAGGTTGTTATTTAATACTAGAGTTAAAACTCATATAGTAGTATATATTCACTGGAAGCTGATCCAAATGAATGATCTTTGAAAGAAATATTCATTGTTCGACTAACGTAGTAACTTGAATGGAAATATTTCTCGTGACTGTATATTAAGGCAGGTTTTTTTTGCTCGTTACCATCACGCGTTGCAGTGCATAAAATTGAATTTTGATTTGTGTTCGAAATTCCATAAACTGTATTTTAAAAAATGAACTGAGCTCATTATTTATTATAGCAGCACGTGCCGCATTTTAATTATAATTTGTAATTCAGACATTTACTTCGATTGAATTTAAATAAAGATTCAAACAATATTTCTACGCTAAGCTATAAAGTTCTTGTATTTTTCTGTTTAAACATAGAAAAGGCGTTTTCGTAGGCAAGCTTAGAACTCTACGCCAGACTAAAGTTAACTTTTTTAATGTTGTTCCCACGCTGGACAGAATGTCAGTACGCCAAGGTATATTTCTGTAATGAAAAAAAAGCTTTCCTTCAGTCCCTCCGCTTATACAAAATACAGGAGAATCTCGTCCGCAAAGTGTTGAATCGGTTATAAAGCGGCAATTATTTGTTTTTATTTTAAGTTACCGCTGTGTTTTTACCGCAAACTCTAAAATTTTATGTTCGTTAGTGTAATTAAAACTGAACTTATTAAAAGTTAAGAAACAGTGGTAAAATTACAAAAAAAAAAAAATACGTGCTCATGGACAAACATGCATAAATATGTATGTATGTATTTATATACATATGTGTGTATGCCCTTGCCTACGTTCCCAAACTTGCAGTATAAACTTCGTGTGTGTATATAAAATAATAAGTCTGAATCTGGTAATATTATAAGTTAATTACGACTACATTTAAATTCTTTTCGGGAATCGCACACATAAATACCTAAATAGTCATAGCAAAATTTTGGAAAATTTGAAGTACGTATGTACGTCCCCACGTAGAAGCATATATGGCGTAATTAAATTAGTGTGTGTTTGCAGATATAGTAATTACACTCACCTACTTTTGAACTGATTTTTATTGCGATTCATCTTCATAAGAATGCGAGATAAAATATTTCCTTGCTCTACTTAAAATATTTAAGGGCAAAATATCATTTAATATTTTTAATACGCATACATATACACTCACAATTTTTATATAATATGTACATATTTTTTGTGTGCGTGTTGATATTTTTCCGGCAAACAGAGGGCCACACAGTTTGATCTAAACCGCCTCTGACTGTCATGTCCACAGCTAAAGACCCAAAACCACAAATTGGAGGAGGAGCTCGGCCGAAAATCGCGTCACCAGCAAAGCTCCAATTATATATACATATAATATGTATATACGTGTGCTCATTAATATATAACTATATACATACGTTAGTGCCAACATACATACATGCATACATAGTTTGAAAGCAATTATTATATTTCAAAGCTAAAAGTAAATAACTAAAGCGATTTATGGCTGGATAAGTAGGGAGACCTGCCACACTATAGCGGCCCTGTAAATTTAAATGAGCATTATCAGTCATACAAATATGCCTTGTCATACACATGGGTACATTTGCTATGAGGTTAGCTTTATTTTCAATTTTACAATTATTAACCACTGATTAGGAGCACATTTCCTTGCATTGCTCGCTTAAAACAAACATATAAAAAGAAGCTATACATAGGTACAAACATACACGTATGTTTGGGTATGCACAACGCAATGCATCTGTTGGTGTATATAGACCAAAGTTAGGGTCAACATGAGATAACGAACCTGTATTTCGTTCCTTCTTTGCTTTCTCTTAAATTAAGCAAACTCTTTTCGTATTTTCCACTAGTTTTTTTTTTTTGTAATCGCTGCAACCACACTTTATTCTTTTTTTACATGCATATACATATGTATATGGACATTCACAGCAAGTATTTTATGTATATTAGCAATAATGAATGTCTTGAATTTGTAATGCATCTATTTAAAACGCAATCCGTATTTCATCAAAAAATTTCGCTGGAAACTATACCAAGTAGATTTTGCAAGTGTTGTGAATTTGTTTTCAAGTCTTTTTAAAAGAAGAAATGCAAAAAAAATATTTTCGGCATTTTAACAATTCGAATAAAATTACTTTTTGGTTTATTCACTTTATTGTTTCTTGATTTTCTCAAGCATGACAATTTTTCTCACAATTACTAATTCACAGTATTTTCCTTGAACTCAATTAGTTGGCTTTAATTTTGTATTCGAAATTTGTGTATGTAGCCTTTTGTGACTTGATTCTATTTCTTCCGTCGAACACTGAACACTTTCAATATTTTTTTGTTTTTACAAAATTCAACAGTTGGTTGCGCCAGCCAAAATTTCGAACATGTTTACACTCTGTATGCTATTGTCAGACTGCAGAACAACCCAACTAGCTCCCTTATAGACATTCGGAATATATATGGAGCTACATACAGATGTACATATATATACAAACATATGTATATGGTGGTATGCATGTTTTTTCCAACGTTCGGATTGCTCGTGAAACAATACCTCCTCCGGTCAATAACATTTCGTACTCTCACATTTTGATTTCTCTGCTTTACACGACATGCACTATACGTAAATATGTAGTAGGTACTTGGTCATTCTTTTGCTCATTTATTTATTGACTCATTAATTTTTTATGCACTTTCGACTCTATCTCTGAGCAACAAAGTGATTCAATTTATACGTTTAACCACAATGTATTTATGTATGTATGTGTGATATGTAATGCAGAAAGAAATCGATTTCAAATGCATAATCTCAAAATTACATATTATGGTTTCGATATTCATACGTCATCCCTTTTTCATACAAAATGCATAATCATGACAAAAACAAAGCCCTTTTAAAAAGCTATAATGTTATAATTATTTGAAAAAAAAACGCTACAAATAAGGTTTCATTCTAAATGCATTTTTAATTTCATTTGAATTCCTCTCACCCAAAATTAAAATAATACGAAAATTTGCTCATAGCTTAAATGAGAAATGTGAATGGGAAGAGTGTGTATGTCGATTAAATATTGAGTACAATATTTGCCGGTCTCAAACTCAGTTTGAAACGAGAGCACTCGGAGACTTTATTCCCAGTAAAGAAATAGCATTTTATACGCAATCGTTTGCAGTCATTCGTAAAGTAATGTGGCAATCTGGCGAAGACCAAGCTACTAAATAATAAGTGAGCGGTACTACAATGTTTTTGTCAAAATCAAATTGTTAATATTACATAAAGTATGCATTTTTAATCCGAATATAGTAGAAAATGAAAAATAGTATGATTCAAAACCTCTGGGCAAGTGAAGGCCCACAAGTAAGCCCACGTTAGGCTAAATAAAAGCAGAGGGACTCTCAGGATGGCCTAAAATATAACAACATGGATTAAACGCTTGCTTCAAAAGGTTAAACATTCGAATAATAGTTGGATTTTAATAAAAAAAAAACTCAAAAAATAATGAATATTTTTTCCGTGATATTTTTGGACTCTCTATAATAAATATTGTTGCGAAAATGCAAGGCGAATGTAAGATGAAAGAGAGAAGCCGATAACTAGTACATTCTAGAACGATGAAACGAGAACCTTCGATAGGGAACAACTCGATTATTCTACACTTTCGTCTACGAGCAGCCGACTGCTATATAAGAGCGACAGTCAGCTGCCAAGTCAAGTTAGTGACAAAGTGAACTCGTTGGTAACAACATAGAGTATAGCGGAATAAAATATTTGAGCCGAAAAGTAAACGCGAAATTACATTTAAGTAAAGTAGAATGTGAAAGTATATACAAGTGATTATAACTAGTAAAGTGCATTGTAATTGAATTGCGAATTACTGAGTAAATAAAGGACAATAGATAAATTCTTTATAACGCAAGAAACTGCAAATTAAGTTGGCGATTTTTATTTAACAATCCTGAGATCGTATCCGAAGGATTGAGAAAACCATCTAGGTTGATTTAGCAAAATCGTAACAATTGGTGTCAGAAGTGGGATTGTTAAATAAATCCCAAGGATAATATTTGCAAAATGGTAAAGATTCAGGATTTGACGATACCTCCTCTCAAGAAGGAGTTGGCAAAGCGAGGATTATCGACAACTGGAAATAAGGCAGAGCTGCTGTCGAGACTGCGAGAAGCAATGGAAGTTGAAGGCATCGACTTGAACCAGTACGAGTTCCAGCGCGAAGATGAAGATGTATGCTTGAAGGACATTGACAAGGAAGAGGCTGATGGTTCTGTGAAGGCGTTGGAATCACCATCAAGTAAGATTCAAGAAAAGGCTCCTGGCTCATCTAAGGGTATTGACATGAACAAGTTATTGACTGCGATCTCACAGTTCGATGCACAGGGCACAAAAATGAACGCATCGCACAAAATTTGTCTGAAATGAGAGCCAGCATCTCACAAAAGATGGATGCAAGGAATGCCAACTTTACATCACAAATGCCGCAAATACAGCAAAATCTGATGAGTAACAACGCTGAACTTAAGGAAAGGCAAGATCTAATTGAGATCGAAGTCAACGCATTGGAAAGTCGTTTCCGGGAATTGCAGCTAAATCGTCCAACCGCTTCAGTGAACGCTCCGAAGGTAAAAACATCCTCTTTTGACGGGAAAATCCCATTTCAAGTCTTTAAGTTCCAATTTGAAAAGACAGCGGAAACAAACAACTGGAGCATAGAGGAAAAATCCGCGGCACTATTCGTTGCGTTGGAAGGACCTGCAGCCGAACTTTTGCAAACCATATCCGTAAACGAGAGAAATGATTACGACGGACTGATGCGAGCCCTAGAAAGACGCTATGGTAGCGAACATAGAAGACAGATTTACCAGATGGAGTTAGAAAAGCGCGACCAAAAGTCCAATCATTTAGCTATTGGAGACACATCGGGTGAGCATCTTGAAAGTGTGAAGATACAAAGATTCATCAGTGGAATAAAAGACGTGTACAACAAGCGAGAGACATATGCGAATCCAAACATTGACATTCGCTGAAACTGTTGCGTATGCACAAACACGTGAAACGGCGGCACTCATAAGCAGACCATCCTACAAAGTAAATAAAGTAGAGGTTGAAACACCAGATG